CAAGCTTATCCATAGTAATAGGATCATGGGTGTCGATACTTACGTAATACCTATTCATCAGGGGGGGATGAATGAATAGATCATCCCCCCCTGATGAATAGGTATCAGTTACGGATCGACACCCATGAATAGGATATATATAACCATAGCCTACCCATATTTGTATCAACATAATTTGGAACACATCGATTCTAATGAATGGGACCAGAGCAAAAACATGGGTTAACGACGATGGCCGGAGACCGCAAAGATTGGCATTTCGGGTGAAAGACTTGATAATGAGGATCTAAATAAAAAAGAATTTAACTTACTACTATATGAGCAGTGACAGGAACCATTCCACCCTACAGTGAATCTTGCTTTCTGCAGTTAAACTAGCATAAAGTTAAATTTCCTAAATTCTCGTTCAGTCAACGCAAACACGAGTTTAGACATTGCGCAATGTTATGTTTATAAATTTAGTGGGCGTGACATAAATCTGGGTCATCATGGCTGCTGCACTCAGGGCTGTGAGGTTGGAGGTCGTTCAAGATGGTATTGCACTCATCAGGATGATAAATGGAGACAATAAATGGAACATGCCATTTTTGAATGAATTTGGGAAAGCGCTAGACGAAGTAGAAAGGTAAACAAGATAATTCTAGGTGATCTAGATCTGTTTCAAAAGAGCGTGCACGAAGAGGCCTTAATTAAGGCTTAATAGAGGGGGCCGGGCCGCGGGCATGCACATGCAGCTATGCTGGTGATGCAGGGCCAGGGGGAAAGGCGGGGGGGGGGGGGGGGGGGGGGACTCTTGATCATGATGTATGATATATCTATCATGGGGTTGTTTCTCAAAATTGTCATAATGACACGATAAACGACATCTCGCGACTGCATGTCGCTCAACTTATTTGATAATTGTTTCACAAAACTAATTGCCAAAAGGCAAGATGAGCGAGAACTTTCATGACAATTAACTTCCACGACAAGAGACCTGGGCATGTATCCAAACATGTCATATATATTTTTAGAGCACGCTCTCAAATTAACTTTAAGTAAGTCTATATGGGCAGCGAAAACATCATTGCACTATCAGTTCTTATTTGTGCAATATAAAAGCATTATACAAGTACCTATACAAACTGTTCCTATAAGATTTTAATGCCTTAACGAGTATATAAGATAAATATAATATTTGTCCATTCAACTGTGGGCGACTGTGTGCTGATGAAGACACAAATTAGCTGGCAAATTTGAGATCGGGCTAGTTAAAATAGCGGGTAATTTTGCAACTTCAGTCTAATATCAGGACAGATCTAGAGAGTCTTTGGGTGCATGAAGAAATATAAGACAATGACTTTTCCATATATATAATGTATAAGGGGCGATTGGTGGAATTACCGGGTAATTGCAGAGCATTATACATGAGAAATGTTGGTCATAGAACTGAAGGCTAAACCTGGTGATTGATAACACCTGTAATTGAGTAAACACAGAATGGTGTCAAATTTCCCACAAAAACCACTACTATGCATTGATATAAATCGATCAATCTGATAGATAATTTGAATGATTTTATCCTAGAAATGAAGACATCCGATGTGTGATCTTCACTGGTCAAGAAAAGTTCTTTAGCTATGGACTGGACCTACCGTGGATTGCTCGACAAACCAAGGAAACAAATAAAAGATTTCTCTTTGAAAACGATGCCATCATAGACAGGGTTGCATTATTTCCCATGCCAACCATTGCAGCTATGAATGGTAAAATGTTCTCTATTATATTTATTTTTAAGCAAAATATGCCTTAATATATTGAATGAATCACATTTCATATTTGAAATGGGCACATTTCAGATCTTTTTTCCTTTCTTTTTTTCTCTTTATTTCCTTTTGATATATTGCTGAATGAATTTATATTCTTTTATCATTTTATGCAGAAGATTATTCTCTTTGGATTGGCAACAACGATTTTTCATTATAAAATTCTTCTGATCAAATTCATATTTCATCACAAAAATGGGTTGTCCAACAGGCAGAATGAATCACTTGTTCTCATCAAATTAGCAACATCCAACCATTTGTTTGTATGAAAATTTCTGAGCTTATTATGAAGTGTGGAATGTTTTATTGAATATGATCAACGAGAGAAAAGTTTGCTTATAGAAATGAGAACCCCAGCCTTGCTATGTGTTTCTGCAGGTCTATCTATCTATCTAAGTATCTTCTCCCAGTTCGGAGGTTGAGTGCAACATCTCTCCATTTCACTCTATCTTCTGCCATTATGGTGCACTCTTGCAGTTTTAGTCCACTCCAGTTCTTGACATTCTCTTCCCAGTTGATTCTGGGTCTCCCTCTCAGTCTACTTCTTCCACTCTTCCTTCCAATACATCCTTTAAGAGGCTTTGGTGCCTTTTAACATGACCAAAGTATTTGATTTTTCTCTCCTTAACTAATCCTACTAGTGCAATATGCTTACGCCCTGCCATGTGCAATATCTCTTTGTTGGTTTTCATTCTGCAGGTCATGCCTTTGGAATGGGTGCCATCCTTGCATTGGCTTGTGATTACAGGGTGATGAGGAAAGGGCGTGGCTGGTTCTGTCTTCCGGAGACCAAAATTAAGCTGACGTTTTCTCCTATCACCCTGGAATTGATCAGGTAAGCATTCATCTTCTATCATCATGTTCACTGCTCAGATGATGTGAGACATTCTGATAATAAATGTAATAGAATGCATCAAGCTCATAACCTTTGGACCTACTATATTGTGGAGGATTATATTATCGATAATATTAAGAAAACGAGAGAGATTGTGTGCAGTTTAGAACAAAAATGAATTACTCTTCTTGCATTTGATATTCTTCATGATAATGTATTAGTGTTTTTATAATGTACCTGTAAAGATATATACTTTCTTTTGCTTAGTGATTTCTGTTATTCTCTCTCTCTGTCTGTCTGTCTGTCTGTCTTTCTACATGCCCTGTCTCTCTCCTATCTACTCATCTCTCTCTCTCTCTCTCTCTCTATCTCTCCCTTTCTATATCTTGGCCTCTCTTTTCTCTCCAGTCTCCACCGCACGCTTTCTCTCTTTCTCTCTATTCTTCTACTTGCCCTCTCTCTCCTTCATTTATTTAGTTTTCTTTATGTACTTTCTTGTTTGCAGAAAGTGATTAATTTAAGCTATGCATAAAATATATTTATTTTGTATTCATTATTTTATTCATTTTTATCAGACTAAAGTTACACAGAGTACAGACTTTGCGGGATGCAGCTATATTCAGCAAACGGTACACAGCTGAAGAAGCTTTGAGAGCAGACATAATAGATGAGGCAGTGGATGAGAATCAAGTCATGGAGGCAGCTATTCGCTATGGTAACGAGATAGCAGGTAAGAACAGATATGGATAACAACAACAACAACTACTTCTTATATAGCGGTAGTGCCTTATCATGCGGTTACAACATAAACAACCGGACTGCCAACAGTATTAGTAGTAGGGAATTTTCAATTTGCACGATGAGAACGGGGACTGCAACGTGTGACATCCTTTTAGTCACTGCCAGTGCCTTAAAAGGATGTCACATGTGACTCTGCCAGTGCCTTAAAAGGAAGTCACACGTCCACGCAAATCGAAAAGTACCTATCCAGGACACTACCATGTTTAGTGGTAATTCTAGTGAGAAGTTAGGGTGTGTTTCTTTGAGAAAGTAGGCCTACATTTGAATTTATATCATGCAGTTCTCAATTTAACACCAAACATAGAATTTTTAAATTGATACATCACTTAACTTAGTGCATGGCCATTATTTACATTAGCTTCTGCCTTCACTTATGATTGAAACAAAGGTGCTTTAGTCTAATTGATTACGTACTCTTTGCTCACTTTAACAATTTTTTTCTCAAATAAGAATAATCATTGAAATAAAACCCAACAAGATTGTTAAGTAGCAAGTTATTTGAAATGTAAATTAGAATATAGCAGTTAGTAAAAGTGATGAGATTGCAGATGTTCTCTATAAATAACATGTTGTCTCATGTATTCTGTAGGTGAGATACTGGACAGAGGTTGTGTGTCGGCCGCAAAGGACAAGCTATATGGTGTCCCTATTAGGGCTAAAAGAGATGCACAGCTTCAGAGTATGACGGAGAAAGACAAGAATGATAGGATCGAAGGATTCATACGAGGGGCTCAATTCCTCGCATCTAAAATGTAAAATCATTCAAAACAGGTGCCAAATCATTTTAAATTGACTCGTATTTTTGATAGTAATTATATGACTTTATTCTTAAGAAGTGTTCAAGAAAGACATTCCAATACCTGATGGTGGTGATTATGATGATAAAGGTTAAATTGTATAATTTCCAAGATACAAGATTCTTACGTTATCAAGGACACCCAAAAGCAGATGAATTAGTGCAATCATCCCTTGCACAAGCACATTGATTTTTAAAACAAATATTGATGTGGGGAAAATGTACTACTTAAATTTTGTATTATTGTTTCTGAAAATTTAAATGTAGAGGTTTCATGTGAAGCATGTGCTTTAGAAGGAGAGATTAAAGGAGTTTCGTTTGTAACCTCAGACTACCTCAGAGTATTCCCATTTTGTAGAGTAAAATGGACTGGTATGGGCATCTTATGGGCAGGGTATTGGCATACTATAGCATATTTCCTATAATACTCAATATTCTAGTGCTCATTTTAATACCAAGAGCAAGCTCCGTCTGTATAACATTTGGACAGAATGCTCCACCGCCATATAAAGGGTACTTCATCATTTGTTTAGTGGAGGATGATTATAGAAGGCATGATCGGCTAGAACTGGATAAGAACCAGGGAATGCATTATATATTCGTTCATTGATTACTAGCTACTTTTGGTACTATTTTTTGTGGTAGTCTCTTCTCATGACTTATGTACTATTCTTCGTTATGGGTGTATCTAAAGTACAAGGGATTTTATATACAAGTATTCTGAGTAACCTTTGCTATGTATTTTACTCATCTTAAGAAAACGGTTTAATGTGTATGGAAAATCATGTCGAAGTATTGAAATTTTGACCATGTTGGTCTTTTACATCAGTAACGAGAGATTATTTGATTCAACATGCTATTTCTCAAAATTACAGGAATTTCAACTTTTACCAAGTTAGACTGTAAGTTATACCCTTGCAGATGTATTTAGAAAATGCAAATGAAGTGAACTTATTTTGCTCTTTTGACTTTTTTATCAACTCTATGCATTAATTGCCTGCAAAGGTGACCCAAAGTTTATTCAGCAATCAGGGTGGAGTCATACTGGAGTGTTTATTTTGTCTGTACTTTTATAACCCTCGAGAGAGAGAGAGAGAGAGAGAGAGAGAGAGAGAGAGAGAGAGAGAGAGAGCTTCTCCTAGATAACAATCTGTTTGAGGAATCATTGTAATTTTGGTTGTTAATTGCAATAAAGTGCCTTGTAATGCTGGAAACTGGCATATTATATATATTGTATGTAATTCAAATGATATCCTGCCGTGTGTACAAAATGAACTGTGAACTGTACATAATGTAAACAATTTTTTATTATAATTAACATGTTCAAATTGCACAGCTCTGTAAATTTTGATAAATGTGACTTTTGAATATATTTAATTTTTCTGTTAAAATCCTACAATAACATCTTGTACTTACTTTGTGAGAGGCTTTGATTGGATTTTAAAAATACATCAAGTAATAAAGCAGAAATGAAAGACACATACAGAGTGAAATATGCATCATATGCCTTGTTTATTTACAGTTTACATATTCACTGTTTTAAAGATTTCATGATTCTATATCATACCCTGTTATAATTCATGTTGTTTATATGATTTAATTGACCTTTAAAGACCTCACTTTAGTTACACTACCCGGTATAACACCAATGATGGAACAAAATTGTTTGCCAGTGATTTAATAAAGAAATTATATCATTTACATCTTACAGTATACAGTATCAAAACAGGGAGTGACTTAAATCTCTTAGAATTTTCAAACCAATTTTTTCAAAACTAAGCGTGTCACATTTTTCTGAGCCATTGTAAAGATGGCTAAGGTGAATTTCAAGAAGCCAAACATTTGAGTAGATGAAAGTCTGTTACATTTGGAACAAACACTCTGTTGAAAGGAGAGGTTCAGTATAAATTTGGTTTTAAGAAGGGTACACTACATTCAACTTTACATGGAAGCATGTAACAAATCAAAAGACTAGTTTGTTTGAAGAATTCATAGATTTGAACATTGAGACTTCTAAAGACAATGAGAAAAATAATCAATCATTCCTTTAGCTGCAAGATCTATTTCTGGAGTAGATGACCAAAGTACAGTTGAAATATCCAGTTTATCAAAGTGGAAAAAATATAACTGTACAATATCAAATTTATGACTCTGATCAGCATATACAGTACAAATGACAAGATTTTACTTGTGTAAATATTCGTGCAACATCAAGAGTATGCTGATATCAACATATCTCTAATAAAAAGCATTGGAATACATCAGTTATACACAGTGATATATCATATTCATTTAATGGACTGAACAGATTTCCCGAAATTCACGAAGATTTTAAAGTTCTTCTAAAATTATCATACTTTGAAGACTAAATACTGTTTTGATGGATCTAGTGCCAGCTCAGACATCAACTAGCAAGCTTCTTTGGCATTCCATTTTGGTCCAGAAGACTCAGTTCCTGGTCTGTCACTACCTGTGGCCCAGGTCCTACCTTGGAGTGAATGATGTATTTCAGAGCTCCAGGATTTGGGTCTCGCTTCATGGCACACTGGAGACCCTGTGCAGGAAACAATTTGGATAATTATTACAAAATGGGTTCAAGAATGTAGCAAATGAGAAGCGTCAAAATGAATCATGTGACCGTGCATAATTTGTTTGATATATGCACGGTACCATCTGCATGGGGTGCATTTTGGTGATAACAACTTTAGATGAAGGTTGCGGGAGACATCTTATGGCTCGTATCCAGACACCTACCCCCAGGACATCCACCCCCCGGAAAACCACCCCCAGTCAACGATCCCCTAGGACGACAACCCCCTAGCACAACTACCCCGTAGGGCAACCACCCTCTAGGAAGACTACCCCCGAGACAACTCTCCCCCGGACAACTACCCCCCCCCCCCCCCCCACTACCCCCTAGAGCAACTACCCACTAGGACGACTACCCCCCGGACAACTCGAGCAATATATTTTTGAATCACACTCAAAGCTATCCAATATTATATGAATATCATTTAGTAGTACTAACCTGTGGTATATCATGAATACGACTATCCAGTCCTCTGATGTATTCCTTGTTATCTTGAGAAGGAGGGAAGCTATGATGGATGAGAGAGAGCACCTCACTCACATTCTCCTCCAGGACGTACAATACAGCATTGGGACCCGCATCAAAGGTGTAGCATGCCTACAGACACGCAAGTTAAAACGTCAATGTCATAAGGGCAATACAATTTGGTAGACAGAACACAAATCCTCGCCTGGCTGGCAGAAGGGCGTTAGCTCGAATTTCAGGTGCAAATGAAGCGCTAAGCAGAAGGGCATTAGCACTAAATCACCTCAAACTTTTATAAAACTGACTTATTTCCCCAAAAATATTGTGGCCGTGTTCTGTTATAACATTTCTATTAGTCTTTTAAGTTTAAAAACCATTTTCGGAATGGAAATCAGTTTAAATATAAAACAAATCTTTAAATGTGAATAATTCGAAAATTAGTTTCTAGTCGCTCGCGCGCTAACGCCCTTCTGCCAGCCGGGCGACGAAATGTGTTGGTGCATGTCAGATATCATCTACTGAGAGCCAGAAGGGTGTAAATCGTATCCATTAACACAGAGTTAACACCTTTCTGGCTCTGAGTGTGTGATGTTTGGTAATGTACAATGCATTAAGATTTAGTTAGCATCTAGCAGAGAGTAGTTCCACTGCTATGAGCTTACTACTATTTGAATGAGCAAAGACAAAAAATTGTTTTATCCAGCAAGATAGTGCCTATAAACTTTGTAAAAGTGTGGAGCGCCACGAGTGTCGAATCTGACAGTCTTGAGTGTTATAAAGAACCCACTGTGATTATTAAACATTACTGAAAAAGCAACAACATTTGCGTGAAAGCAGAACAGTTGCTCTATAATCTCACATACACCTGTAAATTGCATGCCGAAACTTGATGAAATTATTTCCTAAACCTCTGACTACTTCATCTCTTAACCCATTGCCAATGGGAACTGGGTGGCTCCTGTTATAAGTCTATGGCAATGAGAGAATTCAGCAGTCAAGAGGTTAAAGAGAAGGTTGAGTTCTGGGAAGAGGTGAAAAATAATTTGTGAGCATTACTCATTCTTATTATGCAAGTGTGGAAGAACATCAGTTAAGACATGTTCCCTGAAAAGCATGGCTCTTCAAATGCCTTCATATTCTAAATATGCATGTAACATCGTAAAAGTCGGGGGGCCGGCTTTTTACGCCACGTGTTCGTGTAGTCCCATATACACCTTTCTGTGCAAGTGTTTGTAACTTTACCAAGACTTGGCCACATTTCTTATCATTTTGATGATTCCAGAACCTTGCAATACACACAAATTCTTATATGCTAGATGATCAACCATTTCTGGTCGGTTCCACACCGTTTCTTTCACAATGCAATCGCATGACCAGAACTCAACTTCATCTTTAATGTAGGAAAAAGCATCATACCTTAGTTTCTCCATGGAATGAGTTGTAATCATGAACCATCTGTACGATCGACCTTGAAGTGTCATTCATGTAGGATATAGGCGGGTAGGTGTCTAGGCACACAGCATGCATCTGGTTACTGTCCTGTAATAGAAGGTCAAAGGTCATATTGTGTGCACTTGATAAGGCCTTTAAAAAAAAAAGACGTTGTATTGCCCTTTGCGACCGACCCAAAAAATTTGAAATCGACGGTCGGCTTTATGAAAAGGTTTTTTTTTAACCGTTTTTTAGAAACAAAATATGTATTAAAGCATTCAAAACTGAGAAATAACAGCCAAAAGAGAGAGTTAAAAAGTAAAATAAAAAAAGAAGAAGAAAAGATTTCTGACCGACCGACCCATGTTTTGGCACCTAAAGGGCAATACAACATCTTTTTTTTATAGGCCTAATGGGAGGTACCGGTACTGTAGAAAATTTGAACCCTATCCTGATTTCATCATCATTTGTCATGATAAGAGGAGAGGTTGATCGTTGGTCAATTCTTCAGTTGGTTAATTTTACAGTGTCAGATCGATGGGATCAATGTCTGATTTGCAACAACAGATCGGTTCTTTCGTTGAGCAGAGATATAATAACAGAGATTAGATGGCCTGAATGAACTATGAACCTGGTGGTTTAATATGCAAATTGCAACACATTACAAAAATATATATACTAAGTAAGGAAGGCAGTGGGAGACAAGAGGTGGTGGTGCAGTTGTCTACAGCAGTAAAATGCTGCAATGTATATGTGACAGCATAAAAATATGGAAATACATGGTTGTCAATTATGCTTTTTGGCAAATGCATGTAAGAGAAGAATTCTTTCCAAGCTATCTCTAAATATAACTAATATGATAAACACATCCATAAAAGCACATAAGATTTACAAAGTTTTAACATAATTGAAAAACAGACAATGTGCAATATCTTTTTATGTAGCCGATGTTACAACTGATGTTACAACCATTCAACATCTGCGAAAAATGGCTACAATGGATATATCTGAATTTCATGTAATTCTGTATTGTTTACATCATATATATTTGCCTGAATTTGGAGGGATAACGTTACCTTCATAGTAAGTTCAGCGAATGTCCTGTAATCCCTGTCCTTGATAGCTTTCCGCATGGTCTCCATGTACCCTGGTATTAATGTCACCCTGTGCTGAAGGAGTTCACTTGTCTTTACAGTGGTCTGCATACCAGCAGTGCTACTCGTGTGTTTCTTCTGATCGCTAACCTACAACAGGAAACAAAACATTATTTTTGTTAATACTTTGATCATTAAGATTTGCTTTCATCAATGTTGCAGATTGTAAAAATATTCAATACAACTGAGAGAACAACAAATTGTTTAAGAACTTATGATAGATAAACGAGGACAGTTATCTACTTCTAAAATTAATGATAATGTGACTGTGAGGTCATAAAATGATTCCCTTTACTGGAGATATAACAATTATACTTAAGATTTTAAAACTACCAAGTGAGTGTGGTGATATTGAGAAGTGACCAATATATTCATATTCACTACCAAAAAAGTAGTTCTTGTCTATCACCTGTTGGGTTATACTTTCACTACCAACCCCCCCCCCACCAGCGACCCGACCCCTCCCTGATCCACACTCACACCCAATCCAAAACCCCCTCACGTTTCTAACCATGATGATGTGAATTAAAACAGCAATACTTACTACCAGTATAAGAATCCTCATCTCTGACCAGTAGTTCTCGTCTACCACTTGTTGGGCTATACTATCACTACCACAGCTAGACTCCCCATCCAGCCACTCCACAAAGCCTCCATACATACTCCTGCAGGCGCTGCCCGAGCCCTGACGTGCTATGTCAGAAACATTCCCCTGGACACCATACACTTGTGCTAGGGTGGCAACTGTAAAAGGTTCAGAGAGAAGTAGTCCATTACTTACCGGTATGTAAAGTTTAGCATATAAGGGATAAAGCATTACAATTGTGAACTACTGAATACAAAAAGGTAATTATTTAACATTAATCCAGGAAATAAACAATGATACAGAGAGTTATATCATATAATGAAACACAAATGATCTACTGATTCTTCAAGATTTATAAAGGAGGAGTACAATATTCTATTTGTAAGACATTCCCAAGCATGTTGCATGATAACTTTGTAGTCAGATGTCATCTGGATTCTGGAACATACTATATCACCTATACTTTCTAAAAAGCTAACCTGTTGATTAAGCAAGAATGCAAGAAAGAGAGAGAGAGAGAGAGAGAGAGAGAGAGAGAGAGAGAGAGAGAGTGAGAGAGAGGGAGAGAGGGAGGGAGGGAGGAGGAGAGAGAGAGAGAGAGAAGAAAAAAAACAAGAGAAAGAGATGGGAATTAGTGAGAAGAACAGCATAGAAAAATAATTTGAAAGAGAGAGGGAATGAGAAGGAAAGAGGTGGGGTGAAATAGGCATAGTGTGCATGAGAAAGAGACAGAACAAGAAAGAGAGAGAGAAAGAAAAAAAAGAAGATGAGATACGGAAGAAGGCTACCTTGACAATGTTTTTCAAAGAGAGGGTCAGAGAGGAGTAAGAAGAGTGCTTGTATCTTACCAAGGCATGCATACCCAGCTGCAGATGATGCTAGACCAGCTGCAGTAGGAAAGTTATTCTCAGAACAGATATGGAGCTTCCAATCCTCAGGGTTAGATTCATCATCTGATATCTTCCTTTTCCGAGCTCTTTTCCTGACTAGAAAAAACACAAACATATATGCTAAATTATATACATATGGAATATAATGATAATGAATATGAATATCATGTTAGTGATTTTCTCGGTCATAATCTTTGGCCAAAAAATGAAATAGTGTTTCATAGAGCACTAATTACTACTGCATTGTCATCGTTGGCAAATAATACCAGCACTGGAAAATAGATAAAATACCAATTTTTTGCAAAGTAAAATGTCTTGAATAGTTGCTGTTACCTAAATTTGCCAGTCTTAACAGTAATACTCTTCAATTTCAAAGATTTTCATCTTTCATCAAGGATGGCTGGAGTACTGTCTATCATAAAATTGTCTTTTTAAGAAATGTTGATTTATATCAATCAAATCATGACATATTCTCCAACTTCAACCTTGCTTCAAAATTGTGGGATTGATAAAGTAATTGATTTCTACCCCCGCCCCCCCCCCTTTTTTTGGGGGGGGGGGGGGGGGTAGGGGTTATCACTTTACTAAAGGATGGGTCAAAGCATCAAACTTACTCTCTTGCAAGCAGGTTTTCACTCTTGGGTTCTCTAAAGATTCTTCCCTGGAAATCAAGCAAAATTCATTGTTCACCATTGAACACAGACAATTTACAGAAATTGTTTTTAACAACAAGAATGTCATAACATTTAATCACATCAATTATAGCATCCACAATTAACATAATAGACTAAGGGAAATAAAAAAACGACTACCCGGTAATCCAATTGTGTTACTTCATCTTCCTACTGCATGGTATTTTAGTATCAAATTTCAATTCATTTCTTGAGCGTTGATATAAATCAAGCAAAATTCATTGTTCACCATTGAACACAGACAATTTACAGAAATTGTTTTTAACAACAAGAATGTCATAACATTTAATCACATCAATTATAGCATCCACAATTAACATAATAGACTAAGGGAAATAAAAAAACGACTACCCGGTAATCCAATTGTGTTACTTCATCTTCCTACTGCATGGTATTTTAGTATCAAATTTCAATTCATTTCTTGAGCGTTGATATAAATCAAGCAAAATTCATTGTTCACCATTGAACACAGACAATTTACAGAAATTGTTTTTAACAACAAGAATGTCATAACATTTAATCACATCAATTATAGCATCCACAATTAACATAATAGACTAAGGGAAATAAAAAAATGACTACCCGGTAATCCAATTGTGTTACTTCATCTTCCTACTGCATGGTATTTTAGTATCAAATTTCAATTCATTTCTTGAGCGTTGATATATTGCTGTAACTTAAATAAGCAACTTATGGTTTCATCCCGCTTGAACAGAGGGTCAATGTACATCTTATAGATCTGTTTCCCCCCTTGTGTGATGATTGATGACTATGTTGATAATTCGTTACAGCATTTTTTTGTCAGAATTTAAAAATGATTTCTCCATTTTCTCTTGACCCACACAATAACTACTTTTAAATATTTTGTTCCCTAGACTAACCACCTACATGTATGCAATGCTTATTAAAGAAAATTTTCCTCCATAAAATAAAATGTTTGACATTTTCGCCAAGTCCTATTGCTCAAATCTATATCCACATTTACTATAAACTCAAATGCAATTATTTGTAAATTTATACATACTTCCCATTGAGCCAGAGTCTATCTTCCGGGAAGTGTTTGCTGCCAGCTATAGATGTTGTGGTGCATAGTTGATCAATATGAAGGGTAGCACTCAAAGAGGAATTCACAGGAAGTATCAACTTCTCATCTCGTTTGCCCCCTTAAATACAAGATAAAAAGGAAAAGAAATAGTATATAAAGTACAATGAAATAATATTAATAAGCAGAGGAACCACTAATCATTATTTACACATTTTAGTGCACAAATGTGGCTGATTACATTTTTGTTCCTAATTCTAAAAAATCATCAATCTCACTCTCAGACTCTCTCTAGTCCTAAGTATTTATTAGTTAGCTGCATATAAATTAGAGGTGTTTTTTTTAAATCACTTTTTTTTTGTCACTCCAAATAATAATCAACAAGAAGGTGAAACTCATGAATAGCCATGACTGCACGTAGAACTTTAGCTTACATTTAGCGCATGAGCAAAAATCTTGGCGAATCGCAGTCTCATTTTACTAAATTGGCGCCGACAAGGGCCTTTCTTATTGGCTATCGCTGGCTTCCATTCACTCAGTGTTATAAGATATTTGTGCAAGGAGTAAGCTTGCGATTTTCCATTTCAATTGATACCAATATTATGATATTTCAGTCAAACCCTCTATTTGTTAAAATTTTTCAGCATCCTTGAAAGGTTAAATATTTCACTTAAGTTTAAGTCTTCGTAACTATTTTAAAAGTTTGAACAATCCTCATTTTCGTCATGTTTAAGGTACAAACTGGAATTTATTCTGAAATGTTTGTTGAATTTTGTATTTTATGTGTGTGCAATTTCATGTGCGTCAGTTATGTGTGAAAAGCATCACCCGTTTAATTAAAGCATGACATGTCAAAACCTAACCTCAAAACCTGACGTAATATTAGGTATCAACATTGCCATTGAACTTACGTTACTTGGGACGTAACTTGAAGTTAAGCTTAAGTTAAGTAGGCCCTCTAGCTCTCTCACTTAAATTCAAAGCCACTCGAGTAAATCGGCCAATGAGAGCGTGTAAACTATAACTGTACAGCGCTCAAACAATGCGCATAGTTCTTTGCGGACTGATTAATAGTTGACAAAAAGTCACAAAATCATCAAAATACATTGTTAATTTTGCAGAATACATTCTAGATTTACTTTTCCTTCTCGATATCCCCCCTCAACCCCCCCCCCCCCTTTCTTCCCCCGGTATACCCATCCAGCTCCTCCTCCTCTCCTTCTCCAAATCCAAAATAATAATAAATAAGCCGTGGGCCGCCGAACGGAAAACGGACGGCATCTGTGCCCCAACCGGCGGGCCAGGTTGAGGTTGGGTCGCCGAACCTGTCCTCGACCTCGCCCGCATTCTCATTTCGATCACCCACCCAAAGGTAATCCTAGCATTAGCCAACCTAAGAACAGAAACACATGAACATTAATATCTTACTTACAATATTTAATTACAGCGATATTGATTGGGGCTTTACATGTCACAGTCTTTGAGATATCCATGTCTGTATTTTTGCAAAATTGTAATGCAGCTGCAGCAAACGAGTAGTAGGCGGGGCTAGAGATATGGTACGATCGGGTGAAACGACAATTCCTATTGGACAAAGAATAACTTTCGTCCAATTAAAACCTTCATATCAGAATATTAATTCAAGATGGCAGCCTCCATGTGCAAAAACGTGACCATGTTGACAGCACCTAGATATTATTGTTTCAAGCACATCTTGTCTCGTCAGGAAATGAGACTGTTATTACAAAGGGTAATTCATACGATACACCAAATATGTAATTTTCCTAAGCAATGAGATTAAGTGAAATAGAATCTGATATTTAATGTGTGGCCCCACAAGTTGGGAATGGTGTAGGGCCTAACCAGCTGCAGCGTTTGGCTTGGGACTGCACTGCACTGCTCAGTCAGTGCAGTGCTTGTTGAGGCATTTAAAAGTTATATGAACAGTTTGTATGCTTGTGTAGTGCTCTTATATTAACACCAATAAGGACTGTTCAATGAAATGAGAGCTCAAGATAATACTAGATAAATAAAATAGTCTAGGTCTAGACTAGACTAGTCTAAATCTAGATCTAGATCTACATCAGTTTTTAAATAAATTACATTTTTCATTTTTTCGCTGCGAAGATGGGGTTCTGATCACATATGACAGGTTATGACAGGTATGACAAGAGAAGTATGTCGGAGAAGTTGTCACTCATCTTGGCAAAGACGGTTTTGTGAAAAACATATCGAACAAGTAGAGCGACAGCATCAAGATGTTATTGATCTTTTGTGAAACGACTTTCGACTACTTGATCATTGATGATGGCTTGATGCCTAGATTTGTCTGTTGACTAGATCCAATTGAACTTGAAGATTGTGTTTGTATGTTTGTTTTGGTCACTTATCCAATTGACAATGTTGATTGTTTGGTCTTTGCTAGACAGAAATAACCGTCTGATTTGGGTCATTTCTTTAATAAAACTGACATTTGTTGACATTCCCCAATACAGACGGTAACCCAGAGATCTCGTACCGTGGGGGTAATCGAGGTCACAGCGGAACATCTTTTCTCCCTGACATTTCTCACCCGATTTTCTTTATTTAGATCTAATTTTCTGATTTCTAAATCAGATGTAAAATAGGTATAAGTAGTGTTCTCCTATTTACACTACATATTTTTAATTCTCAGTGGAACAACTGACGATTAGAGAGACTGAAGTTTTCGGTCTAGGTCTTTGCTGTACCTTATGGCTTGTATGTTGAATTTTAAATTTACCTTAATCTGAATTGAAAATACCTTGATCAATATTCATCATTTATGCAGAGCAAAATTCTTCTTAGACAGTCTTACTTTTTACTTTTCTCGATATATTCTTCCTGGAAGGTTCATAGATATAGATAAATCTAGCTATTTTTTCTTGGAATCTATATTAGGGACCTAGCCTAACTTCGTCATGTTGCTGATGTTCAGTGGATGTTGCTGATGTTGTTGACCTAATTATAATGCTTAATCACAACCTCACTAGCAGCATTATCATTTAAGTCTTTTGTTCTTTAAATTCACCCAGGTCTTGTCTACTCTCCATGAAGAAAGACCTGAATCCAAAGATGGCAAAACTAGCTGGTCTTTGGATACCCAGGCTTCAAATCCACGCCGTCATGCTGGAGTCCGACAGCTGAAAGCCATCAAACTGCCTGAAGAACTTTCAAAAAATATTGCATCTGTCATAGAAGGTACACAGTCATGAATATGTATAGCTTCAGTCTCACTGATCTTCAGAGATGTGATTCTAGAATACCTCGTTAAAATGACAATTCCTAGGTTCTAATAAAAAAAGAATCTGAAAGTGACAGACATTTATACAGATGGACAATGAAAATTCTAGTAGCATCTAGCATGTTAGATATGCAGTTTTATAGAAATCTATATCATGGCCAATATGTTTATTTTGACAATGCAGATGAATAAAACTTGATGAAAATGTACCAAGCCAGTATATAAATCTTCATGATATTAACATGTATATATCAAAAGTTATTTAAATATTCATGATTTTTCAAAATTAAATAAAGTCTTTTAAATGTATGGGGGGAGGGGGGGGGGCTGAACAATTCAAAAATTGATTTAAACATGAATTTTGAATATAAAGTACGGTAAAGGAAAAGCAAAAAGAAAGAATAACTAGAACCATGTCTTTGTTTCCTTTAGGTCAGACCGGTCGTAACCTTATCCCTGAAGCAACCAAACTGTCTAACTACCTGAGCAGTCGTAAGAGACCTGTAGAAGAATCTGAATTGAGGGCAGCAGCTAGGCACTTCTCCGAGGACATTGGATTAGAAGGTTGGTCGGTGAACTTGTTATACTATGTTTTAAATTCAGAGCACTTTGATGGTATATCTTGCAAATTTATAATGTAAGGAACCAATAGGCAGTGACTCACGTTAATGGATAAGAGAGGCATACCGGTAGTCTGTTTGAAACATCAGATTTCTAATCTTTTCTAAAGTTCTTTAATTGGTTTCCCTAAAATAGACAAGTATGCTTTCCTCATTCACACAAAGTATTAACTTTGGTCACGTATGGACACAAAGGAGATTTTAAGAATGGACCACTTCATCGTAATATACATCTATGGTCATTTATGGAGGGGATGGTCTCTCTCTTCCTCTCTCTGTCTGTCTGTCTGTCTCTCTATCTCTCTCTCTCTCTCTCTCTCTCTGAATGTTGATGTGATTCCCAGAGTATTGTGCCTGTGGACCTGGTACTGTTACATACATGTTTCAAAGGGAACGCTGTGAATGAGATTTTGTTCATATTATTTGGTGGGAAACAGGTGTTCATCGTAGAGCCTCCACCATCTGTATGTTTAGAAGAGTACTGTATGTTTGTTTCTGTTTCTCCTACCATACTACTTGTATATAAGAACCAACTCCTTTCTGGCTGTTACCAGCCTAAGCAATTTCCCATGTGTTTTCAACAATTTTTATTCATGTTTGTAAATTGATTCTGTGTTTTCTGTGTTTATCTAGAAGTGTCGTAGTCGAGTGGTTTAAGCACTTGACTTGAAATTCAAAGGTCATAGTTCGATCCCCAATATGGCGCTAATGTCCTTTGGCAAGGCATTAATCTTCATTTGCCACACTCGACCCAAGTGAGGTAAATGAGTACCTGGCAGGAATTAATTCCTTGAAATGCTAGAACCCTAGGCTAGAGCCGGGGTAATAATAAGTGTGCCTCGGAATAGAATTTCTAGATAGACGGCGCAATAATAATGCCTATTATTATTATTAGTATTATCTATTTTAGTAATTGTAAATGTGTGATACTTTGTATACTGCTTTTTTTATCCTACATATGTTTTTATTGCTTGGCAAAATAAATTGAATTGAATTGAATACTACTTGTATATATAGACTTTGAAGCTGATGATGTCAACAGCCAGTCATTTCCTCCAGAGAGCAAAAGAAAGATGCAACATGTGGTGAGAAACCTGAGAAAGAACCTCTATAAATGGCAGTCAATTAAGTAAGTTTTACATAGATGTTCACTAATGCAAAGAAGTATGAATGTTGAAAAAGAAAATATATACTTTTACTTTTGTGTCATTCCTTAGTGCGACTTCATTAACAAAAAAATAGGTGATTTGAAATAATAATATATAATAAATAATATTGTTATTAGCATTTATTCTCTTATTAAGTAATGAGGACATATTCAATTATAAATATGTATCCTATATCTCTATATCTAGGTCTGTTGTAAACTGTGAAGATATTTCATGTGAGGTTGGAGGGGGGGGGGGGTGGTATATATTGCTTTTATATCCATAACTTAGAACTAGATGAAGTTTAATTTACTTTAATATTGTTACTGTTCATTTCCCCCAATGCTAGTTATGATGATGTAAAGAGCTTAGCATACATGCTTGCAAGGATGCCACCTAACTATGCTGTATTGTACAGAGTTCTAAATGAGGTATGTAGAAAATTTTAGTTATAATATTGCTTTACATCCCTATGTTTCCTCTTTTTTTCTTCCCCATTCTAACCTTTATACAGGATTCAATGTGTGTGTAACTTGATGTATGTATTTTGATAGAAAGAAGTAGAAACAAAACCACCAGTGGTAATACAAATTGTAGGAATGACAGTCATGCAAGTGCTTGTGTTGGCGTTGTCCTGTGCCATCATTCTTTCACTGAATATGGCATTTCGTGATCATTTTATGCACTATCGCAGTCCTCTGTCCGCATTTGCTTCCAAGGCCTCGGTTGCTCTTGAAACACTGATGCGGGTTACAAGACTCCTTGCCCCAGGTATAATGCACTTGATAGGCTCCCAAAGTTAGAGGGTAGTAGCAGAGAGTTTAGCCTTTCGATTGCAATTTTCCACCTGTTTTGATAATAATAGGTCCATTTATATAGCCCAGCGTCTACATGAACATACCCTACTGCACTTAATACAAAGTATCATATTATCACCCAGATGAGATAATGAGAATGATATTAAGGTTGGAGAACACCACAGTGTATTAAACTAATGTTACTTTTCTTTTTATGTTAGATCAAACAAGGAGATCCAGAATACCGTCCTTCAACCATCCTTGATTTTGGATCTGGGCTTGGAACCACAACCTGGTAAGTTGATGCGGCGTAAGTTAGGTAATTATATACCTGTGCTTATAAAATAGAATGGTACCACAGGTTGAAAAAAAAGAAAACCTAACACCTAAAAAACACCTTAAAAAAAAACCTAAGCCTGAATACAAAGTAGAAATGCCAAAGGTAGATCTTCCTGAAAAGACTATTGACCTAGAAAAGAAATATGTCAATGCGCTTTTCTACCTGCAATTATGCTTCAGGCCTCTCACCCCCCCCCCCCCCCCCCCCCCCCCCCCCCCACCCGGATGCAGAAAGCAAGCAGAGAAACCTGTAAAACCACTCCCAATACTGCTACACATTCTTCTGGCTACTAAATAAATATTTATGGCTTGATTCATATCTTTAAATGCTAATAAGTTCTTTTATAATTTATTCTATTCCAGATTTACATTTTTATATTGATATACCACTGTTATTCCAGGGCAGCTCACAGTGTATGGGGTGATGCAGTCAAAGAGTATTACATGGTCGAGGTTGCCAAGGCAATGCATCAACTCTCAGAGAGATTACTGCGGGTAGAGCCAGGCAAGGAGGAGCTCCTCATTCCCAATGTCTACTTCAGGTTCTTCATGCCAGTCTCTCTCAGGGTAAGGGTAGAATTTGCTGGGAGTGTTGATTAGATGCATTGTTTGATAATAACCCTCTTCAATTGTTGCTCTAATGGCTGCCGTATGAAATAGGTGTGACTGATGTTGATTGTAGAAAAAAATGTGAGGAATAGGTCTTAATGAAGTAGGTTCACAATGCTTTCATTCTGTAAATGTTTTATGAGTTATCATTTTACCATTACAGCTTGTTATTGTACCTCTTTTAAGTTGAATGCCAAAGTCCAAAAGGTAAACAAGATGATCAAGAAAATTATTTAAAAAATAAAAAATATCACATCAACATGAAAGTTGTAGGTAATCACAATGGTATCTAGCAAACTGATTAAGACATATAAAGGATAAAATATGCACAATCAACACAAGAATATTTGTTATAACTGTTACCAGGAATGTTTATTATATGTCTTATGAAGTAATCTTCATTACCATATTTGATGTTATCATCAATATCAAGTTTGTGCAAATCTCAAAAATATGGATCTGTTCTGATCTGCTTGCATGGTATTTTAAATCTATCAAAACTGAACCGTATGTAAAAAAAAAAAAAAAAAAAAAAAAAAAAAATGCATTTCACATATCAACCAGTTTAAAAAAATTTCTTCTCAGGCAAGATACAGCATGACAGTGTCGGCATACTCCCTGCTAGAGCTGCCTTCGTTCCAAGACAGGGTCAAATCTGTACGGTCGCTATGGAGACTAACCGATGACTATCTCGTCCTGATAGAGAACGGCAGCTATGAGAGCTACCTGGCTCTCATGGAAGCGAGGGATGCTATACTCATGGTAAATCAAGAATTTAAAGATGTCTTGATATTGTTTGTTCATTGTTGTAGTGACTTAAAGCCCGTCTGTACTAGTTTGGCCAGAGGGATTGGATTAGACCACCCTGCAAGGTCACTGACAGGTGGTTATCTCATCAAATCAGCTCTCAATTAACATAAGAAAAAGGGGATCATGGGGGACCAACAGGCACCGATTAGGCATTGTTTGCTATATAGAGGGTGCAAGTCGTGCAGTGAGGCTTTAAGCCTTGGGCTGAAAGTGGGTCAGACTACCATCAGAGTTGAGGCAGCTTTTGATCTGACTTGACTCACAGATCTGACGTCTGTTTACTTGACTTAGGGCCAAATTACTCAAGTCAGGAAGTCGCATAAATTTGGATTCAACTTAGATTCTTGAGGAAAAAATTGTAAGCAGAAGAGATTTGAGTGGACCTTTCTTGAAACTCAACTTGTCTGAACTGAGTTACGATTAACACTGTCAAGTGGTAATATTCACATTCTGATTTAAAGACATATTCTTGTAGTCCGTACTAGTAATCATATTTTGAGATTTAAACAGATGCTGTTATAGAAATGTGGTACAAGAAGGACAAAGTTATTGATTGGATACTTAATTTTTAATCTGTAAACCTATAAAGTATTATGTAGTTTCTGTCTGTCTCTTTCTTTTACTTCATTTCTTCTTCTCTTTCTCTCTCTTGTCTATTTCTCTCTCTTCTTCCATTCTTTCTTTTTTTATTTTTGTCCTCTTCTTACTCTTTCATTCATCAGGAGAGCCAGGATCAGTCTGAAGACAGCTCTAATGCAGAAGAACTGGAGAATAGGTTTCCTGACAGACTCAAACCTCAGATTGACAGACAAGGTGGTCATGTATTTGCACCAGTAAGTTGATACTGCATTACTTTGATGGTGGGGGATATTATGTGCCACATTTATTTTCATTAAAATTATACATTTGAAAGGAAAGGGCATGGTAGGAAAAGAGAAAATCTAGATAAAAGGTAACACAGTCTGATTTTTGTTCTTTATTTGTGCATGAATTTTACATGAATCTAATTAAAATACTAGCGTTGAAAAAAAATGATCAAATTTTTCAAAGAATTATCAGTGTTTCCTTTGTCAAATGGGGAAATTTGGTTTCTTTTGTTAAATTAAGAAATTTTACATTTCCCAAAGGAATGAGAAAACATGGCATGATCCTCTGTATTTTATGTTACGAACACAATTCTTTTTAATGATTTTGTTTAATGTCTGGTTTAATGATCAATGCTTCCCATAACACATGGACAAATTTTTGATTGTTAGATAGGAATTGAAAATAACCTGAAATATGTATTACCAGCAAAAGATGTATAATTTCTTATAGGAAACCTCACCCCAAAGGCAAAGAATAAGTGTAGGTAATCTGAAAAAGGAGATGTATTCCTGCCCTTTGAAGTACAATAGTCCTTATGGAAATGTACAAGAGATATATAAATGAAGATATTCTAGGCATGATGTTATGCCTCTTAGCAGAAACTGTACAATATTCTTGCTTAATGCCTCTCTCATACAATGGGCAAGAATATTATAGATCTCTCAGAGTTAGTTAAGTTATTTCTTGAGGTGAGGTTTCCTTAAAAGTCATATCATGTCCAGATCAGTACCTACCGATGGCCTGGGTTCGGATCCCACCGCTGCAACCATGTTTCAATATCGTTTTAGCAGCATTTAAGTGTCACAAACAAAAGATAGTTCACATGTGTAGTGTAAGAGAGTAATTTATTTCCAGTGAGGTTGTATGCTGCCCTCTTTTTGATATCAACATTATAGTATTTCTTTTCTTAAATCTCATAAACAATATTGTCAATTCTGACAGTGCCCTCATGACCAGCCGTGCCCTAGACTACAGGATGGCAGTGGTATACCCTGTAACTTTGAGCAATCCTATCATCCTCTGACTCAGTTTATTGGGAAAAGGTCATCTATGGTCAGCACAGAGAGATTCACATACATGGTGCTCAAGAAGGGTTCCAGAACTAACAAACACAGTAAGTTTTACATGCAGTAAGTCTTCATGTACTGTACCATTTCGAGGTCTAATTTACTCACACTGACTTGACAATTTTTGAATAAGTTCTATTCTGCATGATGTTTATGTAACAAATTTTAGTTGAATGAGTTTCTTGAAGTATAGGGAACAATTTCTTAACCCATGGAATTAAAAGTATAGTCTCAAAATTCAGAAATCTGTTTAGCTCTGAGTGTTTTAAGTGTAGCTTATTTTAAAAGCGAAGTCAAAAATGTCTTTTTTTTTGGGGGGGGGGGGGGTTCGTTTTAACTTCCTACGCGTGTACCACCTGATTTTCTTTGTTTTTTTCATTTAAAATGTACTATGGCCCGAATTCACAAAGGAGGTTTGTCGTCATATGACGCATTGTCGACAAACCTCCTTTGTGATTTCGGGTCTGAAGGTTTGAATTCTACTTAAAAAAAGAAATCAAGGCTGGGTCAAGACTAGTCTATTAAGTCAAGTACAACAAAGGCACTTATTTCCCTGGGCTGTGTTGCCCAAGCTGTGCGCTGTAAGATTGGACTTTTACAGGACATAAATCTTGTGTTGGATTTTACTTGTTTAATAGTAGGAGAGGGATCTTGGGTTAAAGAAAAATGGACATTGTTTGTTACCAACAATTTTAATACAAAGCTGTGAAATATGTTATCAATTATAAAATGGGATGCATTAGGCAGTCTGGCTGTTGCATGACTGGCTTACGCTTTGTTTCTTCAAACCAGTCCTTAAGGATTTACTGACCTTATTGTTTCAGGTTGGCCCAGAGTTGTTAAACCAGTGCTCAAGAAGTCCCGTCATATAATATGTCGTCTCTGCTGCGATGATGGGAGTCTCAGAGAGGCTGTGTTCACCAAAGCCAAGCACAGCAAGTCAGTAATATGTTCAGATTTGATTTTTGATTTGATTTTTTAAATTTGTATTTCTGCATTTTTCCAAATATAATAACAGAATAACAAAGAACATATAAACGTAAGGTATAACACAAAATATACAAACAATAATAACTTCATGTCAAAATGTTTTTTTACATACCGGTATGTACATATAATAAGGAAACTTAATATTTCTATAACATATTATTATAAATGTTAAGTATTATCCAAACTATCTGTTAGAAAAAGATCAATTAGATATGAGAGCGAGATTGTCTTGAATGTTTCTATTGTAAATACTTCAGGATGGATTTTGTCAAACACTGTTTGCCTAATATATTAAGTTGTCTCCTTTAACATTATGGCACTTTAAAGTTAATGTAGACTTTTTGCAATCAACTTTAATGAAATATGACCTGTGTATGCCCTGTTATGGCTGTTAGTGTCACCAAATACGAAAAAGACAGAATTGAGGTTAAGCTGGAAAATAGTAGGTGCACTATACCTTGTAGACAACAACACTATATAGTTGTATTTGGAATGCTTTTTAGTGAACAAAATAAGGTTATTTGCTATTGTGCTAGAAATTCTTGCTAGGTTGTCATTCATACTTTGTACCAGAATGATGGGTTATTCATACAAATTGCTGATTTTTCTTGTGTTAAAATGCTATTTGGTGGAATAGCTGTGCATGTGGTTGTTTTCTTTTCAATGAGTGCATGTTGTTTATATTTCCTGTATTACCAATCTTTTCTTTTTCCTTTCTCATCTCTGTACCTTGATCAGAGACATGTATCGGTGTGCTAAATATACCAACTGGGGTGATATGCTACCAGCTAAACAGAATGAGATCGCTGACACAGATAGAGATGGCTGAATATGACTCTATGACTAATAATCAGCAACCAATGGAACAGAGTCAGACTGTTGGGAAATATGCCTGCTAGCATGACATAGGTGAATGGTCTGGCTACAGTTGATAACTTTCTTCAAATGCAGCAGTTTGACTATGCCAGCTGGTATGAAGTATAGTGATAAGTGATGTATGGCCAATAATCTTCTTTTCGATGCTGCAGAGTTGGATGATGAGGAGCCGTGGCTAATACCAGGGGGGGGGGGGGCGTTTCATTAAGACTAAGATCAACTTTAAGTAGGACTTAACTATGGCAGGCCCTTCATGCCACTGTTTGCTCTCACCATTTACTGGCATTGGTCTCTCAAGAGACCTACCAATCATGGTCACAAATCTACAGAAATTACATTTTTTGATAATTCATTATAGAAGGAAAAGATATTATCTAAAGATCATAATGGTGAGAGCAAACAGTGGCATGAACGCCCTGCCATAGATAAGTCCAACTTAAAGTCGATCTTAGTCTTTGTGAAACACCCCCCCCCCCCCCCCCAGGACATTTAGAGAAAAATAACAGCCGACTACTCTACAGTTGATAATCTTCTTCATATTCAGTGTAATCAGACAATGATCGATTATGCCAGCTAGCTGCCTTGAAGAGCTAGAGAACAATGATATGTAGACTGTGTTAATCAACTCTATTTATCATGAGGAAAAAGTTTAATAAACATTCTCTATTATTTGTAAATAAATTGTAAATAAGAACACTCCTGACGACGGATAGCCAACCTGTTCGAAACATCGAGCCACTCATCCTCTCCAAGCACTAAAGTTCTCCTTAGAACTATATGCTAAGAAAGATAACAAACAGTCCATTTCAGGACTACCACACCCCCAAGAAAGATTACCGAGTCAGAGTCTTTTTCAGGACTCCTCAACCCTCCTCTCTCTCTCTCTCTCTCACATGGTGCACCCACAAACCTACTGTATAAATGTCTTCCTGTCGTACAAAACAGTTCATCTGATAGAAGGAAAAGTAAGAATTATTTGCAATTTGAATGATCATATCATATTGAGATATTACTCAGACTAACTAATGGCTATTAATATGAGATTTATCCATCTGCCTCATCATGTTTTGTAAACAAGAATAAGTTTAATTTTCTGTTGGTAAAGAATATTGTTTGTATAGAGGAAATAACAGATGATGAATACAACCAAAAAGCATATACATGTATGTTTTTTAATGATTGAGCTTATCCTGTATTCATATGTATTGAATATATCAGTAAATGAAAGAAAAATGAATCTTTTTACCAGTTTAATTTGTGATCTCGTAAAGTTTATGGTTTTTCATCAAAAGAATCCAAAACTACAGTAGTGTATTTGTGGTTCCATTTGTGTGGGTGATTGAATGAATGGAATCTTGAACTCTAATGTGCGGTGCATTCCTGGGGAGTGGTTCACAAAGACTAAGATCAACAGGCCATTCATACCACCGTTTGCTCTCACCGTTTTCTGGCATCGGTCTCTATACAAATCATGGTCACAAATCGACAGAATTTATATTTTTTTGATAATTCATTATTGAAAGGAAAAAGAGCAACCAGTGACATGAATGCCCTGCCAATACAACTTAAAGTCGATTTTAATCTTTGTGAAACACCCCCTGGTCTTCAACTCTGGTAGGATATCCCAGAGTTTCAGTTTTTAGTACTGTATACGCTTTAGTTTACATACCATTTATTCTTACATGAAAATGTAACAAATTCCTATATTGTGCAAGATTTTGCAGGGCAATTCGTGATAATGGGACATCTTGACAAATATTCATGCCTCTTGAATCTTGATCATACAAATTATTCAATAATTTGCTTGGGGATTATACATGGAGTGGAATATTTAAACATCAAAGAAATGGCCCACTATTTTGTATAATGTGATATGCACCGTACAAGACTTTTTATGATGACAGTAACAGAATACTGTTTGTTCTGGAATCACAAAAACAACATTGGTAGGCTAGATAATGTCAAATTATCCCTATTGATAATACGGAATTGCCCTCCAGCTCCTATAAAACACTGTTTCCTCTATGTTTAGTAATCACAACTCACAAGAGATCAAAATGACACACTTTCGAAACAGTAGCTTGATGTTCTATGAACATTAAACATTTATTCGCATTGTAATAGATATGGTTACCATAGCTAGTTACATCAAGTGCTTATGCGACCACTGTACATGATACTTTTTACATTATAATTTATGTAATATTGATACAATCAAATCATTCATTAAATTCTCATCAATTTTTCTCCATATCAAAAATACTTTTCACAAAGCCTCAATCTTGTCTTTTCAACTTCTTAAGCAAGACACTTGTGGTAAACACATCGTCATGGTGATATTTACTTCGCAGAAATGAGGCTTCATTTTCATATTCTCATACCAGACAGAAAGGGCAGAGTAAAACTCTGGGGGCAAGAGGATCATTCCTCGAAAAATAGAATTTTAAATTGTTTCCCATTGTGACATTACCATTTCATGATGAAGAAAAAAACAAGAAAAGGACATTAATGCCATCTGGCTTTTCTCAAAGAGCTCGAGACTTATTTCCTCTTATTTGGGGGTGCAAGTTTGAGAAAATTCTTTGCTATAAGTCTACAGTAATCTCAACTTAAAAGAAATAAAGAAAAGTATTTCCTAAATACACTGTTGTTAAATAAATTTTGGACCATGGCAGCTATATATATGCCCCATGGCATTTGTATGATTGACTTGATCAGAATTTCAAGCCCATATCGACCAAGTTTTACTTTCTGCCCGTAGACCAGTTATGATGTCATTCCATGAGCCAAGAGTAGCAATGTGAAAGTAACCACTGAGTGTCTGAAGAAAACACATGTACATTATATTAAGAAAATACCACCCTTTCATACACAACTATGAAGTGTATTACAAGGAAATTCATTCTGAAAACCTGGTGCAATCTTTCATGTAAACTTTCCAATCAATGCTAAAGATGACCTCAGTATCATTGAAATACTGTACTTCAAATTTTGAACATGATAATGTTTATCAAACCCTTACAATAGGGGCCAACAGTGTTTTCTATATACATGATTCATTCAAATTCCTAACATGTATAATGTCCATTTTTCATGATACAGAGATTTTGGCATTTAGTTTTTACAATGTACTGGTGATTTAGCCCACAGGTTTTCAGAACACTGAGTAAGTAGTTGAAAAAAAGTCTGGGTACTGAATATGCTAGCTTCACAAAGAAAGAAAGAAAAAATCCATGAAAATATAATGAATTACGAAAAAAAAGGAAAAATATCTTTGAAATCATGTTACCTTAACCATTACATTACTACATGTACACTAAAAAAAAAGATAAGAAAAATACTACTTTTTTTCCAATAAAATCTTACCAATCAATAAATTTGAATTGAAAATCTACCATCTATTTTATATAAGCAATATCATATAATAATACACATCGAATAAACAACTAGTCTACATGAAGAACATAAGAAAAATATGCATCGGTAGCATTTTCATACCGTACCATACCAATAAAACAATTACTAAGACACTACAATCTAACTTATATTTGTAATATTCAATAATACTTTAAAAATGCACATTAAAAAAGTTAAACTTCATAACATATTAAAAGAATCAAATATACTTAATTTGAAATAAAAAGCATGATAAAAATGAATGAAAAAAAAAGTAGCATACTTAAGACAACTATAACAAGGAGATAGCAATATGATCATACTCTACTCATCAATGCACGTTCGTGTGAGAGTATTATAAACCATTAATTCCAGAGCTAAATCAATACTTCTCTTTTTCCTCTTTCAGCACGGCATTACCGTTTATTGACAAAGACTCATACAGATGTGTGTAATATGAAAAGCATGTCCTAAATGGGTAGAATAAGAAGATACCGTCCCAGTTACTGATCTACTTTAAACCGATCTTATAAAGAGTGTTTCAAACTATGTATTGTACGAGTAACGAACAAGATACATCTAGCACAATGAAGTATTGTGTCAAAGTATCTTGACTGATTAAGCATGCAAGCAAGCAAGAAAAAATAAAGGCAACAAATAAATTACTAGACAAAAACCCTTCTGGTAATAATATCTGTAAAGCGCTTAGAGACGGTATTCCATATTAAGTGCTATATAAATTGAGATTATTCATTATCATTATCCCCAACCTCATTGATGTCAAGCCTCTCGGACAGCTACCTATTACCAGCATAAAGTAAATTTTACCAAGCAAATGAAGGCAATGTGAATACAAATTCATATTGTGTTTTACCTACTTGAGACCTTATTTTGGGCTTTGTGAGATTCACAACGTACAATAATCTGCAATAATTGATGTATATGTACCATAAATATTGTTCTTCTATCTTGGATGGTTGTCCTAAATATTCCATGAGGGAATTACCCGATACACTGGTGGTGAGTTGAGTTTTGCGATAAACATGTAGTTGAAGGGGGTAGGTTATTCCAGTCCATTATTACTCTTGGCAGGGGTAGGTGGTGTTATTTATGTAGAAATCTGTATTCTGTTCTGCCCATTTTCTGTTTATTTTCAATACTAAACAATTTTATTATCAAAATAATCATGATACACAAATAATAATGCATCCTGGTACTTCCGACTTGAGTCAATTGACTGATAACATTCAAATCTCAGGCCAGTGAAAGACTGAAGATTGTGTGTGAACTGTGCAACCTGCAACCTAGAATAGACCCCAACAAACAGTGAACATTACATGTCTTGTTTATCAAGAGATAATTTGCACCATTTAATGACATAACAAAAGCTGCAGCAGAAAATTGATTATTTTAAGAATACCTAATGCTTCTTTAGCACACTATTTTTCCAATAAATGCAAATTATCATTCCTTATTTTCATAGGCGACAACTAGTTGAAAATAAAATCTACCAACACGGCTAAGTAGTTCTGCATTATGAAACTATCATTCATCAGAAATAGTAAACTCACTAATTCACACTTTGGCATATATTTAAATGAAATTCTATTTAATGCTATTTTATGAGTTGATATTTCCCTAATTGAAATACACATCCAAATACCAAATTAAAAATACCTTTTGAATGCATTCACCTTATTTTTCAAGATGATGTTTTACATGGGTGATCAATGGTTTGCTCACATGGTTCACCTATGCTCATTGCAATGAATATTTTTCCATATTGCAAACAGTTAGTCTGTATCTGGAAGGAGAAAAAACTATGATAATCCTGATTGGATAATCTTCCAATTTGTTTTGATATTCTCAAGTCAAGTATAACTGTAGTAGTACAATGACTGTGAAACGAAATCCACTCTCTCTCGTGCTTCTTCCACAAAAATTGGCGCATTATCAATTTTCACACATTTCATGATACTCTTGTGAAGCATGATATTAGAAAGCAATAGAACCAAATGGATCTATTGAGCACATAGAAGTGAGCACAACTGTCAATAAGAGTGAGACTGGTTCTGTGACAAAAGAAACACTGAATCAGTATTTATAATAGGCATGCATGCATACTGATATTGCCTTAGGCCTAGGGCCTGTGTGTTACAGTATGAGCAAGTCTTATTATCAAGAAGCGCCAAAACAACCAACACGAAAACTGACATCGGGGCCCCGTCTTACAAAGAGTTGATATTAATTGCAACTTATTTGCGATTGATATCAATCATAACTATGTACATAAGGGAAAGGAGATTGCAAACTTGCGATTGATTAGAGGACTTGCGATTGATTTGGATCAATCGCATCTCTTTGTAAGACGGGGCCCAGAAGGAGCAAAAACACTGAACATAACCCCCAAATGGCTGAGATCAAGTCAAGTTTAGTTCATTTAGGGTTAGGGGTAGGTGTGGCAGTGTGACTGAGATGCTAGTACATGATACATGTCATAAATACATCGCATCTTAACAATGCCTGACCTCCTTTACCCTACATCTAGTGTGCTACAGTCTATTGGAACATTTAGCCGTTAGTACATTATCAACTACTTGCAATATGGAGAATACAAAATAAATGCAGGGTGAAATTTCGAGAACATTGCAAAGTCATTATGTCCGTTTTTGTATTAGGTCAGTACCTCTACTAGTAAAACATCACCTATGCTAAGAGAATCTACATTATTGTATGATCAACTACGGGGAACTGTTACACAGTGCGTTAATGACCAAACACCCATACTCTAGCTGCAATACATTGAAATTTTCAAATAATTTGGTCACTTTCAACGAAAAAATGACCACCATGAACATGCGGGTCAGCAATGGTCATCCAATGAAGACCAACTACCATAAATAGACAGTTCATGGTCAGTACTCCATCACATCGGTCCATCCAAGACGACACCTGGAGATAAACAGCTCACTATGACTGACCTGTCCAGCTTTGTATTGATCACATGATCTCCCGCTCCACATCAAAGCTGTATAATGCTTCACTCTATCAGAGTCTTTTTAAAGTCACATGACATTGTCACCTGACATTCCATTGTGTTTACATCATAGCTGACTGTGTTTGCATGGCCTCTTGTTGTGGATCCGATGTCTTGGGTTGTTCCACGTTGCCGCCCATGTCGTAGATCTGTGTTTGATGTATGGCTGAGGCGTGTTTCATCAGCTCCCAAGGTGTTATGGCTTCATGCTGGCAGAATACGCACACCCAACCCTGGGGTTCTGAAATGAATTAAAGCAACACACAACACAATCATCATCTCATCATTCTGGGTCACATGAAATTGCACTGCAAGTGATATAAACATACGATCCCTGTAACATTTTGGACGCTTTCCTCTTACCGAGGTCAGGACAATATAGATACTGCCTGTTCAGAGCGAACTCTATAATAAGGTACAATAGTAAGATGTAAGTTATCAAGTCCTTCTGGCTCAAAACATGATATTTCAGAGCTCTTTCCAAGTACACATCCAAGTGCATGCCTACATAATATCTACCTCAAAATAAGGTGGCGGTAGGCCTTAAAGGGATCGTTTAACAATGTTAAATCTGAGATACACAGCCCTAAGTGTTATCAGTGTCTGTGATATGGTGTAATATTGAAGCCCTAAAAAAATGATCAAGAAATGCCTCAAAAAAGTAAAAATCTTTGAGTGACCGGTTTTACCATACTCGTTTTCCCCAATAGACTGTAGTGTTATGAAAACCGTCAGGCGAACGGTTTTCAAAATTTGTAATTCCAATCATAAATATCTTGATAATCAGACAGACGATCGGCTTGTAAAAGTCATGGGGCTCCTGACTGACCTAAAGGTTTATAATTATCATTGCATCATGAGCTAAATCCAGAATTTTGTTTCAGAATCTGAGACAAAGTTACCGGATCCCTTTAATGATAGCAATGGTAAAAGGAAATGGGGGTATCCATGGATCATAATAAAACTATTATGTGAATGCTCTAGGGAAGGTATGAATCATTAATTACAATGTCCTTTGGATAGGAACAGAGATGTAGATCCTTGGCGCAACCTCACAACAAAAAGAAATCCCTTTCAGTACTTGTGTTCCAACCATAATAATCAATGTCAAACCTCACTTGTCTTTAGATTTTGGGAGATTTTGGTACATTTCTAGTTGAGCAGTGCAGCATATGAGTAGAACATCTTTATTAGCAAATACTGTCCATTCTGGATAACTTGAGGCCTGAAAGTTCTGCATTTAATACTACCAAGCAAAATCCTGAAACCCTGCAAACCCCTGTAAAAGGCCTGACTTACCATCACCACTCTTGGTAAGTCTATATCTCTTCTTCATTGATGGAATCCCTTTCGCTGGAATGGTAGGCAGAGTAGAGGGATCAACATAGGCTCTGTCAAAGACATCAAAAACAGAAAACTCTTTACTTTTGTAACCAAATTCACATCACCGGAACTCTATACAATAATCAAGTTTGCTATTAAACGTTGCTTCAACAGCTATTGAAAGATAATTGTATGATTGCACTTTGTAAATACTTCAAAGAAGAGTCAATTTTTATCTTTTTATAAGCAATTCCTTCTTTAGGGATATTCACTAATTGTAAATATTTCAAAAGTTCAAGTTCAACTTTTATTTTCCACATTCCATTAAAAACATATCATTCAAACATAAGTAATGTGAGCAATAGCATATGTATAATAACAATACATTACAGTAGAACGAAAATGTAGAAGGGAACTGCATCTAGGCCAAAAGTGAAGAATGAATACTTACACATAACCACAGTCATGGTTAACTTTTTTGAAGCCTTTTGGTCTGTTGAAATCAGGATCACTCGCCAAGTACAGATCTAAAGAAAAGACGGGAGTCAAATTTGAAATTCAAATAAGCGGTGGTAATGGAGTAATGAATTATCATAACACTGTCCTACACAACTTGCATAGAATCCATGATACAGTGCTAAACTGTAGTCAGTGTACTCACTGGCAACTGGTCTGTAGATTATGACGTAATTATAAGAAGGTAAGCTGAGCACAGGTAAATTATAACACAATATAGTACTTCTAATGCACATACTGTAAGCTCTAAAATAGCTGAGGCAGAGAAAACAACAAAATTAAGGTGTGTGATGTCACAGCAGCTGACAATTTTGGGCGTAAATATATAACTTGCCAGTCATCTTACTAAGCAATTTTACTTAGTAAAAATATATGCCAAGTAAAATGTTAGTTCAATCCAAACAGAACTTTTGATTGAGTGTTATCTACAAAGAATGAGACATTATGTAAATGATAAGTCTCTTAGGATTTTCATTTCATTTCTGTTTTCAACAAGTCTTCCACTAAACAATGGTCCTCTACATCACTGTACAGATACACTCACCTAGTGGTTGGTTCTTGATTAGTTTTCCCTGCTCCCCTCTCATGGCATTCTTTGCCTGTTCACTGGTCTCAAACTGTACAAAGCCGAATCCACTGTGGATCGATATGGCCCTGATACGTCCATACTTCATGAACGTCTCCATCAACAGCTCCATGATGTTCTTCCTGTCCTCTTTCCTCGTGTACGTGTTCAGGTTCCCCACAAAGACGCGTGCTGCCTTGGCCGCGGGCGACATGTCATTGGTGTAGTTGCTCACGGCCGGGTACTTGCTCAAGAAGCTGTTCATGGCCGCGGCCCCGCCCATCCCCTGGTGACCGCCCATACCTTGCATGTTACCCATGCCCATGCCCATGCCTTGCATACCCATGCCCATACCTATCCCCATACCCATGTTCATCCCCATGCCATGGGAACCACCGTGGTGGTGGGGCTGGTGACTGTGGGGGCCGTGATGACCGTAGCCGGAGCCATAGTTGCGATGCATCGTGGGGGAGAGAGGTTGGTCTCGTGAACTGCAGACAGAAACAAAAATTACACCCTTAGTAAAGATATGAACTCTCATGTCAGAAGTTGTTTCAGACTTCAAAGCAATATTGACAACATTCCATTCTACTAATTCTTAACTTATGAATATGGCAACGATTTGGCAATTTAGTTTTATTTGTTCTCATAGATTAGAAGACATTTCTAGAGACAGCACAGTGTACTATGTGTGTGTGTATTTTATATCATCTACAAATCAATATGTCTCGCTTCAACTACGTCTGATTCTACTTTATCTTTTATTCAAAGTGGGATGAAGAGATTATGATTACACTCTGAATTAAAATTGAATGGAGTTGGATGGTAGTTAGGTTCATTCCAAATGGAAGCTGGACGGAGGTAGGCTAATATTCTAAATTTCCATGATAAAACAAAGGAAGAATGAAGATTGTTGTATTCTATGTGAACTATTATGCCAGTGGACTTTATTGCAATATCACAACAGAGTACCCCTTTTTTAAACATCATGATAGAAGAGATCTTAAAAGATGATTTAAACAAGAAGAAAAAAAAAAAGTGGAAAAAAGAAAAAAAGACCCAGACCAGTGCATTTCGGAGGCAATAGCATTTCTAATATACATGTGTTTTAAGCCTTGAAAATAAAGTTGTGACACAAATGTCAGTAAACTTTACCATAAATACACAGATCATCTATCTTTTAAAAAAAAATATCACACTGAAATAACTGCTTGAAAAATACACACTACATAAATACAATAAATGGTGAAGAATAAAGTACTCACCAATAACGGCTAAAAAATCAGCGGTCTTTCAATAAATTACACCACTCTGCATAAAATAAATCAAATAAATAAAAAGAATTTATAATCCTTCCATATTCTTTTTTCAGAGGCTTGATGAAGAAAAAAAAAGGTTGAATAAACTTATCTTTCAAAAGTAATGAAGAAGAAGCAAGAAAGGTAAAAAAAAAATAAGTGCCCATGCAATGTGTACAGGTTGTGGCCTTGTGGGCTCAACAAAAATAAGAGGCTTTCTTCAATATCTGTACAAGTTTATAAATCTCAGATAACCTCATAAAAAAAGGCTGACCCCCATTCTACTGTGAATAAATAGTATCAATGCAAAGATAAGGACAAATCTAGGATGACTCATACATAAATATATACATGAGAAAGGTCTTGGGAAACCCAACATTTTTAGCAATGTGATTTGTACATTGTTATTGAACAAAAGCAGAATAAACTGCCTATAGCCCCCCCCCCCCCCCCCCCCCCCCCCCCCCCCGATCCAACCCCTAACGTTTACAACGTTAATACTCAATTAGAGTATAAACTAAGGCAGAGGGTGTGTAAAGAGTATTCTAGACTAGCTGATGGGGCCATGAGAAAGATTAGGGCCTATATCTCCTGTATTTGTACTATTTTGTAGGTGTTACAGTGTTAAAGATGAAGACCAGTTATGGTCATGCGATTGCATTGTGAAAGAAACGTTGTGGAATCGATCAGAAAAGGTTGATCATCTAGCATATAAGTATTGGTGTGTACTGCAAGGACCTGGAATCATCAAAATGATAAGAAATTTGGCCCAGTCTTCGTAAAGTTACAAGCACTGTACTCAGAAAGATGTATATGGGACTATGCACACATGCGTGACACGCGCATTTATCTCTCACACACCAATAGATAAACTAATTTACCAAATATATCAATTAGTAGGCGGTTTCCCGGCAAAATTTGTATCATCATGTATTAGTCAAAACATATTCTTTCACATGATTGTAATAAGAGCTTCTATTTCATTTTTTGAAATTGGGGCGTTTCCAATACTGGTCTTTACCTTTAAAACTATTACTATGACCTCTCACACATATATGCAATAATGCAAGATTATCTAAATCAACGTCACAACACTCGATGTCTAGACTACTGCTGGCCTTGCTGGGACTGCCTACAAGTATAATCATGACGTTAACTAAATTAAATAATAGCTTGCTTTCTTGGTCCCATGTGAGAGTTTCAAAGGAGCAAGATTGTTAGCCAGAACCAAGATTGTCAGCCAAAACAGCCTAAAAACTTCACTTGATCATGGTGATAGAGATTTATTTGGAGGAGCTGAATTCAAAGTAGATTTTCAAACATCCTACAAAGTAGTACAATGTAAAGAGCAAATGTCTCCCCTGAATTCATCAAATATTTTGATGTTTTTATCTCGTAGAGGTTGATCATCGCAAAAATTGACACAACCCCACGACAGATGGTTTTGCGAGTCTTGTAATCGAATAGTTCAGACCCCTGCATTGTAAAACCTATGCTATTTTTTTTTTTATCTCTCGAGGTAGATCACCGCTTGCTTGGCGCTGGCTTGACAAATGTAATTTTATCAAAGAATTTGGTATAGAGCAGAACAGAGACAACAGATGTTCATGAAGACATCATCAATGGTTATATTTAAAAACGTCAGTTCAGCCAGGTCTACTTTTCTCCTCGTATTAATGCTTTTGTCGCTTATTTCATTTTAGATCAGTTCCGAAACTTTGTCAATTGTAGAATTTTACTTTGGTCTTTGCCTAAAGTTGGAACTGCAGTGCAACTTGCAGCATGCAGAGACAACATAGGCCTCCCGGTAATCATAATAATAGTTTAGTAGCTACACATCCTCATTCGGATTCCACATGCACATGATCAGATGATGCAGGCCTCATCCTCAATCAAGTCCAACATGAAAACAAAAAAATGACATTATCACAGTCAAACATTTGACCACACTAACTATTTAAGATGTTAACAATATTACTTTACAAGAGATATACATTCGTCTGATCAAAACAAGTCCAGTGCAGTGCCAGCTCACGTTTTCAAAGCAAAGCATACACACCAAAACAAACACGTCGATTATTAGTACTATCATGACAAACGTCATTTTCTCTTGTCAACTCTGATAATCCCATCCGTCATAAAAAATTCTCCCTCCCTTTCTTAGCTATTTTTATTTCAGACCACCCTTGCATTCATGATAAATTATATTCCATCGATAAATAGCTTCAACATGTTAAATCCCTTGAAACAATATTATACAAAATAAAATACCCACGTGTAACATTCCAGATGTACAGGGCGGCTGATATTTTCTGCATGGACTGTGTCGCTACGGCGCATGTACTATATGTATGGAGCGTGCATTCTAAACGAACGTGCTGCTGGTACAACGGGCCGGGCCCCGGGCGCGCCCCGGCCGGTGCGGCGACACAAGGCATACAAAAAAGAGCTAGCTTGCTGGCGAGCTCTGCGCGCACGTGGGGTCACTGGATAATAACTTCCTCAATCAACTACCGGTAGTTGGGGTTGGGGTGGGGCCGTCAACATGAAAGGCGACAAAACAGGGAACATCGGGAAACTGGAAAATAGCTTGAACATAATTTGTTTTCCATAAGTAGCACACATCCTTCTTCGAAAAATGATATTCTTTGTTTGTTATTGGGCCCTATTTGTCTTTATTTGTTTTCGTTTTCCTGTTATTTTTAAAACTCAAGCTAGCAGACGATATGAGAGAGATAAACTGCACAAGCGAATAGGAGTTTGGGCCTGCATGGGGATGGGGGTTAATACAAAATCTTCAACTATGCATTTTGCTCGATTTATACCCCACATCCCTTCAGAATATAGTTGTCAGAATCTAATATAACCTCAAATATTCTGATTGCTACTGTGTTGGAACAAATTAACTGATATATCATTATGGGAGCGAAAGTCGTTTCATATATTCCCACGAGGTCATATGTACTGTCTTCACCTTATATTATAATAGCTGTGTGCATGCAGATGGGGCATTGTTATATTTAATGATTATATCATAGAAAAGGGGTGCAAGGGAGGCTTCAACTTTACAAGCATATAGCTAGGGCCATATGTTCTGAGAGATGCTGGGGACACCCCTACGCCTAATTACTTCCATTAACTTTTTATTGTTCATGTATATCCGGGGTATATCCACTCTCCCTGGTTCATCATCAATCATCAAGTGTTAAAAAGCTGCATCTTTGTACATGACTTTTTTTTTGGGGGGGGGGGGGGGGGGGGGGGGGTTATGGTGACACATTTTTCATCTTGTGGAAAACAACACTGAGGTCATTGGTATGTCTGGTAATCATATACATATAATCATTACTGTATTACAAATGCGGACTAACTTTTGTCAAGGTCATGAAGTCTACAGTTCTATCAAAGTAAACACATTCTCTTAAAATAGTCAAAATGAACACAAAACACATGAAACTAACAAAAATATTATGCTTTTTGTTACAAGAGACAAGTTTATTGATATCATTCATCAGGTATACATACATACAATGTCAATGTAATCATGCAGTCCAATGAGACGAGATGTGATGTGACAAACACTTTGGCTCTGCACCATTAAAATAAACTATGTCATTGGGAGATTCAAACTATAAAGCAATCAACCATTAGCACTGAAAGTAGAACTTCTTATTTATTTCTTAAATAAAATACTTTTAGAGAGAGCATGATACTAAATCAGCTTTGGCAATAACGTCAAAATGACGCTTTACAAACAGCAGATAACAAATTTAAATAAAGCTGTTGTGTTGACCTTTATTACAAAGCATAAATCTACATTAAATCCTAAACCATGAAAAATGCTGTTTCAAACAAATGATACACATATTAATGACATTACATACAGAGATTATATTTAACTAAACTAAAACAACTTACCGGTACACTTCTAATAAAGTTCATACAAAGTTAACAGGTAAGGTATGAAAGGCTTGTGTAAAGTTACTAGTTGATGGTAGAAAACTATAAAAGTACTGCTTTTCATAGTATTCCACCATTATCATTCATAAGCGAGATACAACAGGGAGCAAAATAAGAATAAATTCTAGCTAGGTATCCTATAAAAAATTAAGTTTAAAATAGTAATTGTTTAGTGAGAAAGGCATAAATATTAGAATGTCAAAATTTAGAAAATAACAAAATTATGTAAAACCTTAGAAGATTTGAGCATGTTTTGGAGTTACATGTATTAATAAACATACCTTAATTAATAAATTTGAATGCATTTGTGAACTACAGGTAGTCTATTTCCAAAACAGGAAAGGGGTAAAGCTCCTTTCACAAGGGAAAGGCACAAGACCATATGTTTGTGTACCTCTACATTTTAACAAGTTATCCATTACATATATTATGACCACTGCACAGAAAGACCTTAAATTAAATGAACCAATCTCTGACACAGGTTAAACCGAACTACATTGTCTTTTGAGAGCCAGAAGGGAATTCCCCCTTCTAGCTCCAAACAAATGATATATATATATATATATATATATATATACATCATCCATCAGTGCTTTCACGATTCATCAGTATCTTTTATCCAGCAATAATCATTACCGGACACTTTAATCAAACAAAATCCGAGATTGATTTTACCCTTTTACACAGAGATCTTTTATAAGACTGAAATTCAACACTACAGGGTATATTAGCAAATAATGGCCAGAATGTGTTAACCAAAATAAAGGAAAACGTAATTTTCTTATTAAAGAAAACTTACACATCAAAATTCCTAGTAGTGAATCAATACTGGAGCTTTAGAAGGGGCCAGCCCCTTTCAATCTATCCTTTCAAAATACATAACATCCTTCTCTCCTTCCCTATTTTTCTGTTTAACAGTTCTTACATAGAACTACATTTTAACAGTACATATTTACAAGCATCTCTGTGTGCCTATACCTACCATCAACATGAAAGTTATCATCTTTTATATATGCTCTCTTTACTTTGGTCACTTATTTAATTTTCTGCAGTTTTAAATCCATCGAACAGTTAATATCATTACATTAAATATTTACAGGAAAGTCATATTTTAAATTCAATTTTAAGGTCACATACCATACAAAAAAAGCAACTTGATATACACGCATCTGGATGTTCACAATGTAGAATGTTTCATGGGCTGGGTGATCAACTGCATTCATTCAATTCCCAAGCATGGACTGTACATTTTGCAGCATTACATTTTTGAGTTATGCTTCACATTTTCTACACAAGACACCTCCATTGTTGCAAATCTATCCCATGATAAAAGTCCTCTACACACTTACATTTCTACAGTATTAAAAGTGCTATACATACAATATTTTAAGAGTAGAGAACAGATTACTATTCCATTTTATCATTCATTCAGACCTCATTCCATATATTGCAACTTGCAAATGAATACATCTAACCTACTTTAAAGAAGAAGTTAAACATGCAATATTTGTTATCCATTCATTCAATCAATCGATATCTTCTTCACTCACAAATGTTCTCTCTGGTTTTTCATTTATATATCTATAATTCATTGTCAGTGCATTATGTGTTATCTACCAAAAATTTGTCGACATGAGCGTTAAATACATGAACATCAAAAAGCACACTTTCATATTGTCAGAAAAGTCATAGCAGAGGGATAGAAGATAATAAAAAAAAACCTAAAAATACAATCTATTTTGTTTTTTTGACCTCAAAAATTGTTCTAGAACACAGAGATGACAAAACATGAAAAAATAAATGCTATCATTTAGTTCATGTATGTATTAAAATATGCATACAATGTTGTGATGTAAAATGACCTCTAAAAGTAAACAGGGGGAAAAAACTTTAAAAACCTAAACTTCTAAAAGTAAACAGAAACTGATACATAAAATAACTTCCTATAAGTCAATAAAACACAATGCTTAAAGATAAACTTAAGTTCTGGTAAAAAAAAAGAAAATGAATTCTCACAGAATCTAACGAAACTTACACTGAATGTTCAAGATTACAAATAAATGTCATGTGCCAAACAATTTTGGAAGAAAATGTATACTGGCTGAGTAATGAGCATAGAAAGATAAGGAAATCAGGGTAGTACTAGCCCCGACACCATGTGTGTTGTCCCATATACATCTTTCTGTGTAAGTGATTGTTAATTTACCAACTCTGCCAAATTTATGATGATTTATGATGATTTTGATGACTCCAGAACCTTGCATTACACACCATTACTTACATGCTAAATGATCAACTTTTCTGATCCATTCCACACCTTTTCTTTCACAATGCAATCGCATTACCAGAACTCAAGTTCATCTTTAACAGATCCCTACGAACTAAAATAACTCAAAACTATTTCCACTCAACTAAAATGAAGAAAAAACCTATTTTTCCCCCAGAAACAAAACAATAAAATGATCTATTGATTCTCTAAAGAAAGACAAGATCAACGTCCAACATGAGGTTTACCATTATTATGGCATATTTTCCGGTGGTAAAATACATGTTCAAAATATTCCAAATGAATTATTCAACAATATCCAGGTTAATCCCCACGTTATTGTGCAAGAAAAGGAAAAATGTCCCCAAATAAAGTCTCTGTCAAATTATATTACATTCACCTTCATTCCATTTATCCTCCTATCTTTTCATCAGCTTCACTTTAGATCAAAAAATGCCAATGAAGAAAATAAAATATGATGCTACAAATCTTTGCTGAATACCATGGCAACTAACAGGTCACAAAAACATTAGCACACAAGCTAAAGGCAAACAGAAAAACATACAAGATGAGCCAAGCCTGGTGGGAATAGAGAAGCTTCCCCACTTACTAGCTATCGCGTCTGGTAGTTTTTGCGACTCGTTTGGCCTATATGATGCAGCTTCCTTTATTAAGACTTTACAAAACCTTATTTCTAACATATGTAAAAAGTCAACTCTTGTCAAGTTACTAAATACATATCAAAATGGATCTGTGACAATTCACAGAGAAAAACTGTTCAAACTTGCATGTACAAACTCTCAAAGTAGTACTGACTATGTTGATTGTTGACTAAATACATTTCCATATTGGCAATTATTTTCCTAGCTCATCATATTAACGCTTCTCAAGCCTGCACGTTTACAAAATTGGGGTAACTGGTATCAAGGAATTATTTTATTGGCAATTATTTTCCTAGCTCATCATATTAACGCTTCTCAAGCCTGCACGTTTACAAAATTGGGGTAACTGGTATCAAGGAATTATTTAACCATGTCATTAGGAAATTCTATTTACTGGTACTGTAGAAACAGTAGCAATCCAATACACTGTAGCAATCTAGTTTTGACTATGGTTTAAATTAAACCTCCCTCGTGAATTTGGGCCATAAAGGTGGACTATAGAACTGAAGTGAATGGGTCAACCAGCTTGGTACCCCTATTGAAAATATTTAACAAGAGCCCCTACGGAGCAATCATGGGTTTTGATCATTCTCTATACTAGACCAACCAAAGAATTCTTTTAAAGTTTCCTGGTTGCAAAAGGTGCTGGATTAACAGTTTTACTTATGAACAACACATCACAGTGAACAACTACACTCATGCTTAGTGACAGTGTATGCTTCAAGTTTGTTGCTAGCTGACCTGTGTATTCTTCTTCATAAATTGTACAAAGCTTGGATAATACATATTTTCCTATCGAACAGGCACACTTCTTAAACATCAATATATATATATTGGAATAACATCATATCAGTGAATGCTCTACTTATATTATATAGACTTACAGCATACCAATACCTAATTTATCTAAATCATCACGATTATTAAAGCAATCAATATATGCCATCTTATATGTTTTCATTAGAATCATACTATACATAATAACACTTTCATGTTGCTTATTCATGTCGCTCAATAAGGTCACATGATGGTTTAGAACATACACCATTTCATGGTCAAAATATGATACAATACAAAAACATGGTATTCAAACAGTTTTTTGCTATTCAACTGCATGTGGAAAGATATATTCTTCATACTGCATATATACTATGCGCACACATCCAAATAAAATAAAAAAAGGAAAGAAAAGTTTGAACATTACGTTAGCCTGGTTTGACCAAGGTGCACTATAGATCTAACTCTAAAAGCTAAACAATTATACAGACAACTCACTCAGTATCATACAGTTAGCTATGCTTTTGTATGTTACACAATATATCAATTTTTAAAGACACTGTTTTAAAGATTATATTCTTCTTCATTCTGAAGAGCTTCTCTTTGATTCAGTTTTTCTATCTTTTATTCTTCAGTTACTGGTTTACTTAAAATATGTAACCAATATCCATCATTGGAAAGACTAACCATCCAACAAATTTTTAGACAGAATTAAGCGTATTTATTTGAGCATTTGTATATGTTGCTCTACAAAATCCTAGAAATATTTAAGGGAGGAGGGAGGGCAAATACAGATTACAGGTGAAACAAAGCATGACCTATCATTATATGAAGCTACAAGATTATATTTCAACACTTAACATAATGATATCATCATTTCAAAACATAAGCCTGGCGGACAGATTTCATTTCAGCTAAGAGTAAACTACATGTAAATACAGGCCTCTACCTTTATCACATGGGCTACAGTAGAGACACACAATTGAATGCCTTTTTTGTATCTTAGCTACTCTATTCTGTTGGAGTACAACTAGAAATCTTCAATAGTACGAAGACGCCCACCAACAACTCCTCACACTAGGAACTTTGCACATGTTTATACGTATGTCCATGGTACATATTCTAAATATATATTTGGGAGTTTGATTCCTTCCAGGGATTAAATTAGCATTCTTTTTCAAATTTATAAATGCACCACTAAGTCGCCATGGCATACTTCCTTTTCCCTACCCTACCTTAACTGTTTAGCTATCTCATCCTGGCTTGAAGGTCCCATTTCAAGAGTGGTCCCTTATTTCCTTAGCTGCATGTTGGCAAGGTGTAGGTGGTGGTGTAGTCTTTACATGATCCCATTGCCAGTCTTGCCCTTGTTGCCTGACTTCAGATCATAGATGAGTAGCTGGTGGATGGCTGCGGCATGCTTCATCAGCTCCCAGGGCGAGACTTCAACGTGCTTACAGATGGAGCACACCCATGCGGGTGGTTCTACGGAGGAGAACATTGGAAAATTTATTCTCACGTAACTTTATCGCTGGACATTTCAGTTTTTAATTTGTCTCAGCAGACACAAGTAGCAAAGGGAAAGCTCCATCGCTTTGCAGCAAATGTATTAATCTAAATTTTCATCCAATGACTAACCGAAACACGGTCTCTCATAGTGAACAGATAATAAAAAGCATTGTGGTAAAAAGTGTAACAGAAAAATTACCTACTTTGATATCAATAATGACAACATTACTATTCCTCAACTTAAATACACTGTATTTGCACCATCATAATTTTGAAATTACTGATTATCCATGTACTGAGATCATTGAGAAACGTTACTTCTATTCAGTCTCCTATTGATGATTATGGATGTAAATACAATAGAATGTAAACTTACCATCTCCACTCCTTTCATCATCCATTGCTGTATCTTGGAATCTACGTCTCTTAGCAGCTGACGGTTGGGCAGGTAACAAGCCAGGGTCATAGAACTCACTGTTCAAAATACGAAACGAGAAAAAAATAATATAGGATCTTAAAGAAAAGATTTAAATGATAGAATAGAAAATACCAATTAAAGAGTCTCAGACTCTTGGATCTAAATTTTTCTTCAAACTTGATTTCTGGAACTTTTTGAAGATTTTGAAAACACACAAATAAGCCTTGAAGATTTCAAACTAAGAAGACAGCTAGGGGGAAAAAAGAAAAAGAAAGAAGAGAAAGAGAGAAAGTACAGAAAAGGGAGAAGAAAAGCCCAATGCGCATACTTTAGGTTAATTCAACAATATTTTACACGAGACAACCATCCCTTTTTTGTAATTCATACACTTGAAATGTGCATTTCATAATGAAATTCATATTTTGCATATATCTATATTCTGTAATTTTATTTCATTTGAAAGAAAACTTACAAATTGGCGAACTCTCCAAAGGCCCTCTTAAATCCAACTGGTCTGCTATCATCCGGCTCACTGGCAACACGTAGATCTGAAGGGGTTAAATGGTAATTCAGTCAATACCAGTCACCTTATAAGCATCTTCATTATCGTCAGTGACGCATAAAATTAAAAAAAATCAGCTTTAAAGAAACCTGTTACTTCGTAAAAAAGTTAAATCAGTGAATCTGTACATTAGGGACTTTTAGATTCGCACGAAGACAATGGGGATTGCTACGATCGACGTCCTTTTAATGCACTGCCTTGAATGGACGTCACACGTATCAGTCCACACAAATCTAAAAGTCCCTAATGTAATAGTTAGCACTGAAGAAAAGCTGAACTCCACATGCAAATGAATACAAGATTTTTCGCTGCTGTACTTGATATTGATTACAACAAATATGTAAAATGTAGAATGCAATGAGCATCATAACACAGCAGATCCTAGAGCTGAATATCCATATCCTCATTATCATTGTTATTAGGAATTACTGACTGCACTGATGATTAAAACCTATAATTCTCAGCTCACTCACCTAGATGTTGAGGGTTGTGTGTCCCTAGCCTCCTCCCATGCTCTGCCTCCACTGCAGCTCTGGCTTCCAGCTCAGTCGTGAACTGAATAAATCCATACCCTTTCTGCAGGGACATGCCCGTGATGGTACCATACTCCCGGAATATCTCGTAGATCTTCTGTCTGTCGGCATGCAGGGGGTTGAGGTTCCCGATGAAGATGCGAGAAGCTTTGGCGGCGGGATCCTGATTGTTTGTGTTGGTGCCGATGGATAGATGGTTCGGTGGGTTGTGGTGTGCGACGGGTCCTCCTCCTCCTCCTCCACCGCCTCCTCCCATAAAATTATTAGCTTGACGCTGTTGAACACCGTAGACCCCTCTGTTCATCGTACTTGGATTTGATGTGGTGACCAAAGAGCTGTTAAATCAATAGAACATGTGTCATTCAAAAAGATTTTAAAAAAACCAGCGTGCAAAAGTACACTATTCATTTACTGAAAATTTCCCACATATTACTGTAGATGTTTTACAATTTTACATCCAATACCAATTTTTAAAATAAAATCTTTAAAGTTGTAATGTAATGTTTTGTCAACTTTCTCAAACACGCTATACACAAGTAACCAACCTAAATACTCTTGGAGAATGGTTGTTCGAACTTAAATTTCACAATGAGTTAGAATTAAGCAAATTGGTTGCAATATTCTATCCAAATTAATATTCCTTTAGAAGTGTTCCTATGAAATACAATTTGTTCAAAACATTTTAAACAATATAAAATAAATAAATGAACAAAAAACATCAATACATATGGATACGTACTTACCAAAAGAAAAAAATTGGCAACTATAAGAGCTCTTGAAATATAAAATATCTGAAATAAAATAACAGCAGAATAAAGAAAAATAAAGAAAAATAATGAATAAAAAATAACAACTACAACTGTATAGTAAACCAAAGTTTGCATATTTAAGAAATGGTGCAATTACTGCATTTGGGGAGAAAGTATTTCTGGTTCTTTGTGCAATAACTAAGTTTGGAGTAACTGGAATTAAAAAAAAGGCAATCTAATAAAATTCAATGGCATGTGCATTTAATATTTTGAAAAAAAATGTTTAAGGGGTAAGCACAAATGAAAACAAATTACAATTATGAAATATGGGTGAAACAGTGTCTTCTAGTTCTAGCTTTGCACATTCCTTCCCAGAAACCAATCTTTAATGACAATTATGACAATATGACATGTATCAAATTTGTACCTATTATGTCTGTAGTTCAGCAAGCTCTCTAGTAATTATGTGCAAATTTTTGTTTAAGAAATATGTGTAGGAAATAAGTTGTACAGTTAGTTCTAAGCTTGCATAAGAGTTTCATGAGGAAGACCACCAACAATACAAAAGCCTGAAAATGCCACATGATCAGGGCAACAAATATCTTATTGAATTAAGATAATACGACTAAACTACTTAGTATAAAAAAGAAGTTTCTTAATTTTTGTTGTTTCTTTCTTTCTGACCACCATCTAAATCTACCCTTCCTTTAATCCTTATCTCCCGTGAGATTGCCATGAATTTCATGAATATGGCTAATATTTTAATTTCCCATGTCTCCGACTTCTCAGAGCCGGTTTTGGGGCACAGCTGTGTTGAGTTGCGGCTACATGTACATATCAAGTCAATGGAGAGCTTGCTTATTAAAAAAAAACAGCAGTTTGAGGCTTTGAGCTTTTAGCTCTGCGGTATCAGAAACTGAGGTCTCGTGGTCTTGGTCACAATACCATGTGTGCGTCTCAAATGCTGAAGACGACTTAAACATGATTCTAAACCCCTTCCAGCTGATACCTCCCCCCCCCCCCTATCTCTAAGCTTAGCTTTCATTCTTATATTCCTTGACCTAGCTTGCTCATTTTCAAGAATTTTTTTAAATTTGTGCTTTTTAATAATGTGAATTGTGATTTAATATTTGGTACCTGCTTTGACCGAGCAATAATAAATAAAGTGGCTTTTACAACATATTATTAATAAATCTATGGATATGTAATAGTTTTGGAAACGAGTTCGTTCATCAGCACCCTGTCGCTGTCGCTTGTGTGAAAGTTTTGGGTGGGAAAATGAATTGTCGATGCCATGGGATGGGCATGCATTGCCAATGCATTGCAACAGTAATGAAGTGTTATTGTGAATTGTGCAGAGCAAATGGCAGTTTCATATTTCACAATAATGCCACATCATTATCTTAATATCATTACATAATAAGTAGGCCAGGGATCCCATCAAATCACTACTGATCCCGTCTTCTTTGCGCTAGGGGAAGTTGGGGCTTGCCACACATGCATCTTGCAGATCACACACGCACAACCTTGCTAGTTCACTACCCCCGTCCGTCCTGCCTGCCGACACGACGACTCGCCTCGCCCTCGGCCCTCGGTTCAGCATCTGGTCACTGCCTAAACCTCATCAAAATAACGAAATATTCCACTCTCAAGCGTGACATTCTCTCGCTCAACACAATCTTCTCGATTATTCTAAACTAACCATACCTCAAAATAACATTTCAATTCCATATTTCAATTACTTTGCCATTCTAAAAGACGGGAAGTAAGGATTTTTATACACACCTTCGTGGAGCTCGCCGAGGGTCTGCAGGAGTGCAAATTCAACACGATTTGATTCTGTACAATATTGCGATTAGACATTCAGCTCACCAACAAACTACAAAAATGATAACGAATAATGGTTGAAATGACCGCACCCCTTGGCTTAGGATTTGCCGCGAAATGCATTCACCGTAGGCCTACATATCTGGTCAGTGCCCCTTTCAGTTGCAATAAGTGCCCATTTTCACCTTTGATAATTTCTCTTTTAACAATGGTACGTGCCCCTTTTCCTTTCTTATAAGGAAACTATCTCCTTTTACTGCATGCCCCCTTTTCACTGCCCCTATCAAAATGTGATGGGTGCCCCTTTTCCGTCAGTTGACGCATGCCCATTTACCATTCTCATAAGTGCCTTTTTGTTAATTCCTATTGAGTACCTCTAAGAGAAGTGCTTCATTTTCACCTCTGATTACCTTTTGTACTCAGTGACACGTACGTGCATGCTCCTTCTCTTTTCTAGTAATCTTATCCCTTTCGATAATCCCTTTCCCCCTCATCATTAAACGTGCCACCACGAGCAATTTCCCAAAAGCTCGCTAGCATTTATAAATGATGTAATTATTTTACTTATCAAAGGTCTTTTCAGTGTTCCTTTTTGTTTGTTGTTTGATCGAGTTTTAAGGCATCAGTCAAAATTTACTATTTATTCTGTTATGAGAATGTGCTTATATAACCCTACCAGGATTGGGTTTTTTCTCTTTATAAGAATTAAATTTTTCCTCGCCCGCAAATGAATATTCAGACCATCACACCTAACTACAAAGTCACTAGGCAACATGTTATATGATGTACCAAGAGAAACAAATATTGAAATTATCCCTGATAATGTAATTACAATGTAGGTGTTTATATATAAAAGAGTCAATAAATTCTATTCTGTTCTATCAATGTCTAAAAAAAAGTATATTTTCATAGAAAAGGAGCACATGTCAAAGTACAAAATGGGGCGCTCTATCCTTACATCTGAAAAGAGGCACTCACCAGAAATGACAAAGGCACTTATGAGAATGGAAAATAAGCATTTATCGACGGAAAATGGACCCCCGTCAAATTTTGATAGGGGCATTTACAAGAGGAAAAAGGGGATAGCTCCCTTATTAGAACAGAAAAGGGGCACGTTGCCTTGTTGAAAGGGAAATGATTAGAGGTAAATAGGGGCACCTACAATAAAGGAAAATGTGCGTTTATTTACAGAAAAGGGGCACCGACCAGATTTTATTAGGGGCATTTATCGAGGTGACAGGGGTGTCTATGCGAAGTGGCTCCTATTAAAAAAAAGAAAGCACATGTTAAAATAAACGGAGCACTAATCAGAGATGAAAAGGGATAATTATGAGAACGGGAAGGGGCACTCATAAGAAGGAACAAGGGACTCGTGTCAAAATAAAAGGAGCACTTACAAGAAGGAAAAAAGAGCATATGTTAGAAAAGAAAAAGGACAGGCGTCAAAATAAAAGATTTGAATAGGGGCAATTACCGGAGGTGGGGGGGGGGGGCACTTATCAGAAGTGAGGAGTAAGTTTGCATACCTGAAATGGGATATTTACCAGAGATGAAAAAGGGCACTTATTCATAGGTGAAAGGGGACATTTAGGAGAAGGGGAAGGAGCTCTTTTTTAATGGGGGCATTTATCATAAGAAAATGGGGCACATGTGAATATAAAAGGTTTCGCTTATCCAAGTTAAAAAGGGAAGTTATTGAGAGGGGTATGGGCACTTCCCTCAAAGGAAAAGGGGCACTTCTCGTACTTGTAAGGGCAACTTACTAGAGATTAAACAGGGCACTTGTTGAAGGAAAAGGGGCATGTGTCAAATAAAAAAGGGCACTCATCAGAGGTAAATAGGGGAAGGGGCACTTTTGGGCAACTCGAAAAGCAGGGGGTAGGCACTGTCCTGCCCCATGCATAATCCTCATAAATACAGGTACGCCCCCCTTCCCCCACATAAACACCCTCTCTCACGCACACAAACAACACTCCATTCACCTTGGGTATAGGTAGGAAGCAACAGTGTAAACAAACCTACCATAAAAGCAGAAACTCATGAACACAAAATCAATATCGTGATTAAAATGTGTTGTGGCATGAAACTTGCCGTTCTCAACCACTCATCAAATACCAAAAAATCAATGTTGGTATTCAATGATTTTGCAGCATCTTGCAAATCTTGACAACTTGAAATGACACGTGTAACGTTTCTGGTTTTACAGCATTTTATCAAAAACTCAAAATACATTCATAGCTATCATTCGCAGAGTAACACATGTTAATAACACACTAATCAAGACTTTCTTTTCTTTTATTTGGCTTTTTTGGCAAAGCCGTTTACTTCACGACTTTCACGTTAAAGAACTATTTACATTTTGACCAAATGCATTTACTCTTGCCTACCCTCTTGTTGCAGCAACAACAAAATATATTTACACACACAAATCTGAAATTTATGATCACAAGTCTACATGTACGGAGAGAACTAATTCCTAACAATTAATGGTGTATAATTGGAATGCTTACCCTTCCTTCTCTCAACACTGTGAACTGGAAAATTAACTACTCTGCAGAAAACAAACTAAATGCAAGGAAATGCATTTTATTTCAGTGGGGTAAAAATTCAAGAAATGTTTGCATCTCAGCAAGCATAATCTGCACACAAAATAATGTAAGTTTAAGTTATTATACCTTACAGTCTTACACACTGTACAATTTACTTACTTAAAACCCTTAAAATGAACAGAACTTTGAGGAACATAGGAATGAAAGAATAAAAAAAAAAACATTCAAAGGTGGGCCATTTCACTGATATACATTTACACAATTAGGAAGGATCATAGATCGTCACATTTAATTTTTTTTTCTTTCATATTCTTTTTACTTTTGAGTTTTGACTTACAAACTATGTTGAGTACTGATTAAATTTAAAAATCTTGTCATTTTATCAATGAAAATTACAGGTACATACATATTATTTATTCTGGTAAGTCCATTCATCGTTACCCAATGCCAATGGTGTATAAATCCCATACCTTCTTTTACTTATAATACATGTATTGCAGAATGAACATACCAAAGATACACTGCAATTTATTTTGAGATTAAATTCAAACAACTTTCTGGAAATGGTTTCACTCAACCAAAGCAACATTAGTGAGTCTCATCAACAACCCTTACGCTTACTGAAACTGCACTTTGAATAATAAGAAGTTATGCCTCAATGTAAACAGATTCCTGATTTTGCATGAGAAATGTAAACCAGATAACAAATGAAAATATGCAACAAATAATATTCAAAGTATTCCATCGACACACAGACTGGTCCGTTATGCCAAAACGTCATGCATTAACATATGAAGGAGCAACTATATCAACAAAGTTAAAGCCAAACAATGAAATGTGTCAAGGACAATGAAATGTGTCAAGGACAAACTTCTTACACTGCCGTCAGATTTCTTCTTTGCTGGTAATGTAGATGATTTAAGATTAATCCAATTTCATATGCTTACCAATGTTAATACATGATGTACTCTCATGGTGGTGGGGGCAAATTCTTTGGGCAGCGAAGGCAGTTTATGTGTGGTCAATTTTCTTTCAATAATTACACAATACAATTAACCTTAAAAGATATTACTCATTCTACTCCTCCTTCACCCAGACTTCAATCTATTCAGGCCATAGACTCATGACAACATTGCTTTAATACAGAGCAGTCATTTTCCTATTTTTTAACACTGAAGTGCAGTACCCGACTAAAATCAAATGTTTTTTAAACAAGACTTTACTCATTACCTTGGAATACTATTAATTCTAGCCCTTCAAAATTGATGGAGTTTGAACCCAATACCTGTGTGAACTGGGTGGTCTTTGTTTAAAGCCTATGGAAATAAAAGAACTCAATTGTCAACGGGTTTAAACATGTGTTAGGTGGACTATCTCAATAAGATTTAGGTGTATTTACTTATTCTAAACCATCAAGGTCTGAGGGCACATGTATTTGATGGACTATCCTGATACATGAACTGACTGTGATTTAATAACTACACCTCTTGGCTTCGCTCTACCCATATCAAGGGACTGTGAAGAATCGGCTGCGACTATTCTCCTTCCTCTGGCTTAGCTCCATTGAGGTCATAGATCTGTGTCTGATGAACGGCAGCAGCATGCTTCATAAGCTCCCAGGCCGATACGTTTACATGCTTACAGTACGAGCAGATCCAGGTTGTAGGTTCTATAAGGGGAAAAGAGAGAAGGTTCACGCTCCATGAAAGGCAATATTCCATGTACAATGCAGCTGTGCAACACATACTCCATTTACAATGATCTGAAAAATGCACATTTCTTTTAGATTTTAGAGTCAATTAGGCCCAAACTTCTTCTGGGAGTAAAATTGCCATTCTCCCAATGTAAAAATACATACGGTACTAGGGTAAAAACAAAAGATCAAAGTTTGAACAACTATTACAAATACATGTATACCATTGTATAGTTCTTCATAAAAATAGGTGATAAATTTGACAATTTTCAATAACTTTTTTTATTTGCAAAAACAGCAAGAGCCTATACATATCTAAGTGTATCATCTACAGGCCTACAAAAAAAGAAAAAGATGTTGTATAACCCTTCAAGGCTTTAGGTGTCAACACCTGGGTCGGTCGTTCGATTTACTTTTTCCCCCCTCTTTGGGCTGATATTTTTCAGTTATGAATGGTTCAATACATATTTTTAAAATCATTTAACATTTTCTCTCTCTAAAGAACTGTTAAAGACCGTCACCACTACTGGGCAAGAAGGGATTAGACCACACAGCGAGCCATCGAGGTCACTGTGACAGGTGGCTATCTCATTAACTCAGCTCTCATTTAACATAAGAAAAAGAGGATCATGGGGGACCAACAGGCACCGATTGGGGAAGTTTTCTATGTAGAGGGAGCAAGTAGCTACAAGTATGGCAGTGTGCCTTTAAAAAAAAAATATATCTATATTTTTATGTCGGTCGCAAAGGGCAATACAACAACCTTTTTGTTAAGGCCACGGGGTTGACAAACAAAGTCTACCTACCATCCCCACTTTTCTTATCCATCAGTGTGTTATCCTGAAACCTCCTCTTCTTGGCCTGAGCATTCTGATATCCTCCATCAAAATCAGTATCACTGAAATTATTATTTTAAAAAAATATTTTAAAAATGAGTGAAACCTATATATTGGTATATAAAGCACTGTGAACATGACAGACAAAATATACAGTGCCACAGGTAGACAAAGGAACATCCCTTCACTGCTATTATGTAAAAATGTGTAGAACAGGTGAATATGCATGTGATGTGACACCTGTTCTACACATTTGTACATACTAGCAGTGAAGGGATGTTCCTTTGTCTACCCGAGGAACTGTATATTTTGTCCGCTTTCTTTGTCCGTCATGTTCATAGTGAAGGCTACTCAAGGGAGACAAGAAAAAGGGTCTTCATATTCAGGTAGCATTCACAGTTGAACACCTAAATTATTCATACCCCTTCTAAATTTTGTTTTTGTCTCTTTGTGCATGTGTGTGTTTTCCTGAACTTAAGAATGAAAGGTGGACTTGGTGAATTAGGGCCTTTTGTTGAATACTTTTAGATGTAAGCTTTAATATATGACCCGTTCTTATGAAACATAGATCGGGACAAATACATCTATACATACCAGGGAGGTGAAAGAAAAGGAGGCGAAACTCTTGTAATTTATTCAAACGCATTCTTGAGTTCTAAAGCGTAACAATGGGATGTGTAACATTCCACTTCGCTTTGAAGTTCCATGCTCCGAACCGCGCTTCCACTGCGGGGACTTTCGGAAGCCAGGCACCAGTTTTACATTTATTACAAAATATTAAAATTACCGGCAAAATTTCAGTGTAAATCAAAAACTTTATATGGGGATTTTATTGGGAATAGTGCATCAAACAAATTTTCAAATTTAGAACTCCGTCCTTCCTTTAATTTGTGTGCCAGAGTTGGTAAAAGAAAAATTACATCCTGTCAAAAACTCAATATTTTAGGATGATGCGCTAATTTGTGCATGCTTTAATGTCCCGTTATTTGATCCATGATTTACAATCTTCAATAACATTAAGTTTGCTAATGCGTGTTTTCGCGTGTTTTTTTTGTATTTTTCAAGTTTAAAAAAGGATGAAAGTACACAAGTTTGTGTTCGCTTGTTCTACTCTTTACACATTCAACAATGGATGAGAAATCATTGGAAGGGACAGCGAACAGTTGCAGTGATACCATTTTCTGATGTAGGAATTCTAGCTCCTGAAATTTCATGCGCTCTTTTATCTCACCACCTGGTCAACAATTGCAGATGAGCGCATAACTTTTCGGCGGCTTGGAGCATGGGGTCAAAGGAGAGCGGCTTGATTCCAGTCCTTCTCTATCACGTCCCTGTACATACTAAGAAATTATAAAACTTGGTAAGGGTATGAATGATTCAGTCGTTAACTGTACGTTCAGGTTCCTTTAGTTCGAATATCAATGGCAAACACTGTTCAAGGGAAACAGAAAGTAAGTTGCATTTTTATACAGTTGGTTGTTGGATATAAATCAATCTACTTGCAGGATAGATTTCCCCATATAACTAGAAAATGGACAGAACTAGTATTCTGACAATCAGAAAAAAATCCGAAAACCCATGAGAAAAACAGGATGTATGCAGTCGCCTCAACCCCTATGCATCAATTTATGCAAGGCAGAATATAGAGAGGAAGACGTGTGTCTCATAAACTAAAACCTTCCAAGATAACAAATGTGTTATCATTTGGGAAGCCATGACATTTTTTTTCATCACAGCTTTGGGACATTCAGAGAGGATTACACAAGAAAAATAACAAAAACTGTTATGTAAAGTTGTGAACACATGAAGGGAATTTTGTATTTTTCCACAATTATGTTTAAGAAACTGCTACAAACTCAGAAAACAAAAGAAAGACAAGGGACTAATATCTCTTCACAAACCAATTACTAATCTTGCTTTAGCCTGATGTTTGGGCCGTTTCTCCAAGCAGTTTGAGATGGATTTACGCTAAATGTCAATACCATGTCTTTCCTCCATACAGATTTATCAAGTACATTTGAAATGCTGATGAGATACTCACTATCGTTTGAAGCCACTGCCACCTCCTCCGCCGCCGCCACCTCCTCCTCCACCACCAGCCTTATGCCTTTCAGTGGAGACACAAAGATCTGCCAAGGAGAAAGAAGAGCTATTAAAGGGTCTTGGAGCGGAGACATGTCACTATTGAATGCCACCAGTCGGGACAAATCAACAAATTAGGAAAACTTATTTTGCATTTATTATGAAGTTGATTCAGAACAATTCATAAAGGATTCACATTCATATAGAAAATAACAAATATGCATTGTCTTTTCTTCCAAAAGCATACATGTAATACACATTTTACATATACTGCAGCAGATACTTGTTCATACCAATTTGTAATGGATGTATAGAAACAAAATGCATGCACTCATCTATTTTTCCTCAAACATACAATACAGCTGATCTACGTGTATGTGGTTTTAAACAAACCAACATCTCGAGCATCTGTACTCTGTAGGTTTTTCTTCTTCTTTCTAGGCTTAAAAAATTGGTATGTACTATGCTTACAGAACATTTCTTTAATTCTATTTATTCTGGGAAGATGAAACTAAATTTTTGTTTCGTATTCTACATTATCATTTGATTAGGTTTTCAACCTTGAATTCTTGTTTCATAACTACCATGTTGAATTCTCTGTCAAGAGGAGTATAGAAGTCATGAATATCCAAATGAAAAAAATGACTCACTACAAAGACACATGCGATAATCAATTTTAAAAATCCCTACAAGAAAATTATTTTCAAAACTATCTTTGTACTGTAGAGTACATAATATGTACATGTAGGTAGTTGCACATGATGCAGAAACAGCCAGCATCACATGCAACTACACAGCATTGTTAGCATTCAAATTCTTTATTACCAAGTTTCTGTGTTCCGAAGAGATTTCCGTTCTCTTCTGCAACCGCGGTACGTGCCTCCACCTCGGTGTCGTACTGGACAAAAGCGAATCCTTTATGCAGCGAGATTGCCTTGACGTTACCATACTTAAGAAATATGTGGTACAGTTGCATTCTGTCGGTCACTTCTCTGGGATTGAGGTTTCCTACAAACACTCTGGACACTTTAGCAAGGGGGTCATTGCTGTTGGTGTTGTTACTGATGGCAAAGGTGTTTGGTGGAGGTGGGTAGCCCAGACCGACATAGCCTCCGGATCCGTGATAGGGACGATTCATCCTGGTAACTTTCTTGGGGAGGATTTACTCAAAAAGCTATGAAAAAAAAAATGGAAAAAAAATGGGGGCAAAAAAGGTAATAGGGGCATATCCGGCACTCCCTGGAAAATGACCCACACATTTCCACAGGTTGTTCACATGAAAATATTATAAGGAAATAAAATTTGGGGTGGGGAGAGTTCTTTTCATACATAGAAAATGTTTTGAGAAAAAAAATGTAGAATTGTCAAGAACAAAAAAAGGACAAAACAAAATGCCAATTGAATCTGACGTAGAATCTCATTATGCAATATAAAAAGTTGATATCTATCCTTCAGAATAAAAACAAAATGGTAATTCTGAAGGCAAAAAAGTTCTGTTAAAGCCTTACTATAGTATCGGTCATATAAAAAAAGAAGGGTAGAGGCAATTTCAATTGATAGAACATAATTCCAGTGCAATTTTTAGATTAAAAAATAAAACAAAACAAAAACAGAACAAAATCGGGTGCCTTTTGTTCACAACTACATAAACATGAGACACACAATCAAACTCAAAACCATCATACAAGTACATGTATTGCTACATGTACTTCCGCTATACATTACATAGAATCTTATGGAGTTTTTACTTTCTTTCTTTCGCCATATGTAGTATCTTACCATAATCAGATTGCACAGCAGACCAATTCAAACTATAAGCCTTACCAACTACAGACTCTGTCCAAAAGATTGGAGGAAGAAAAAAAAAAGAAGATCTTTGTGATAGCCTAAATCACTCTAAATAAAGTTGATTCTAGTCAATACAGCTATGAGATTGTAGGTAACCTTAAGTCCAAAGTGTTAATTGGACCACTGCTCTCACACAACCTCATTGCAAGTCAATGAAAAACTCCATAAAATTCTAGGATGCAACTCTAACTCTTCATCAGATCGTCTGTTCACTCTCTTGAGAGCCAGAAGGGCATTAACACTCGGATAAGTAAATGAGTTAATGCTCTTTTGGTTCTAAGTAGATAGCAGTGAGAGGATCTCAGGATCACAAGAACTTTCACTTCATCCGACTCTCTCTTATTTTAAAATCTTGATCATTACAGCTACCATCTCCATTCATACGTACATACATTGAAGTCACACTTCACCTGACCAGAGTTCAACATTCTCTGGGCTAAACTCAGCACAAGGGTCAACTCATACTATGCACAAAGAGAGGGTGAATTATCCAAGCAGGTTGAATCAATGTTACTTGCAAGACTTTTTTTTTTGAGGAGTATGTCTTTAAAACAGCCATTGACAAGACCATTTCACAGCAATTTGTAAAGCAGTTTCTGAAGAGGTCATGCTAATTGCTAAAAATGTAAAGAGGTTTCATTCTACAATGCTTGAAGTTTAGGGCTATTTATCAAGAGGGGCAGTGTGTAATTTGCACTGCAGAGTTTGCCCTGTTGCAAAGTTGGCCCTACACCACACACACAAGTATTCAAAGTACATGTAAACACTAGCCCCAGATGAAAGTCAGTGATTATCATTATTTAACATGTACCCCCCCCCCCCAAGAAAAATTAATAATAACGTTAACAAAAAACTAGATGGAATTTTGACTGCGCGCAATCGAAAATGATGCCTCCGCCATAGAGCAATTTAAACAAGTTTGGAGTTTAAATCTCCAGTGGTTCTTGAGATATCATGATAACAATCTCAATGTATGGAATTTCATAAGTTGACCTCTGTGACCCTTGACCTTTGACCTACGTGCTCCAAAATCTAATCAGATTGTCTTCCTACGGTGATACACGCTATCATTAAGTTTGAAGTTTAAATCTCCAGTGGTTCTTGAGATATTATGATAACAATCTCAATGTATGGAATTTCATAAGTTGACCTCTGTGACCCTTGACCTTTGACCTACGTGCTCCAAAATCTAATCAGATTGTCTTCCTATGGTGATACACGCTATCATTAAGTTTGAAGTTTAAATCTCCAGTGGTTCTTGAGATATTATGATAACAATCTCAATGTATGGAATTTCATAAGTTGACCTCTGTGACCCTTGACCTTTGACATACGTGCTCCAAAATCTAATCAGATCGTCTTCCTATGGTGATACACGCTATCATTAAGTTTGAAGTTTAAATCTCCAGTGGTTCTTGAGATATTATGATAACAATCTCAATGTATGGAATTTCATAAGTTGACCTCTGTGACCCTTGACCTTTGACATACGTGCTCCAAAATCTAATCAGATCGTCTTCCTATGGTGATACATACTATCCTTAAGTTTGAAGTTTAAATCTCAAATGGTTCTTGAGATATCGCGCTAACAAACTCAATACAAGGAATTTCATAAGTTGACCTCTGTGACCTGTGACCTTTGACCTACGTACTCCAAAATCTAATCAGATCGTCTTCCTATGGTGATACATAATATCCTTAAGTTTGAAGTTTTTACATCTCCAGTGGTTCTTGAGATATCATAACAATCTCAATGTATGGAATTTCATAAGTTGACCTTTATGACCCTTGACCTACGTGCTCCAAAATGTAATCAGATTGTTTTCCTATAGTGATACACACTATCACTAAGTTTGAAGTTTAAATCTCCAGTGGTTCTTGAGATATCATGATAACAATCTCAATGTATGGAATTTCATAAGTTGACCTCTGTGACCCTTGACCTTTGACATACGTGCTCCAAAATCTAATCAGATCGTCTTCCTATGGTGATACATACTATCCTTAAGTTTGAAGTTTAAATCTCAAATGGTTCTTGAGATATCGCGCTAACAAACTCAATACAAGGAATTTCATAAGTTGACCTCTGTGACCTGTGACCTTTGACCTACGTACTCCAAAATCTAATCAGATCGTCTTCCTATGGTGATAAATACTATTCCCGAGTCTAAAGTTTAAATCTTAAATGGTTCTTGAGATATTGTGATAACGGTCAAACGGGACTGACGTACGGACGGACGTACAGACAACCCGAAAACATGATGCCTCCGGCACCACCTTCGGTGGCGGAGGCATAAAAATAATAACACAGGAGAAAAGCAAGTAGTTTGGAATACCAGAAATAATACCTATTAGTACTGGTAGTTTTTTTTACTACATGTATTGATGAAAACCTTTTTTTTTTTTAAAGGAACAAATATTTTACCCTATAGATATCAAAGGTTCAGTGTATCTTCCACTGCATAGCATGTATTCGTTGTCATTGTGTGTCCATTAGAATTATAGATCCAAGAATAAATGCAAATTATTGACTCTAACCAGATGGACTAAAGCAAATTAAAGGACAGCTTTATTTTTGTAACAATTTAACTTTTGAGGGAAATGTTAAAAGCCCTAAATAATTGATGATTCCCAAACGCAATCACTAAAACTTTTGAAAGCTTGATTTTCAACTTTCACCATATTTAGTTGTAGTAAATCATATGGGTTTACCGATAAGGACATGAAAAGCTTGAAAACAAAAGGAAAAATAAATTTACAGCACATTGACGAATGTAAAGACACTAATTCTGAGTATATTTCTCTCAAAGATGATTGTCAAAGTGAAAATGAATGTTTATGGCCTGTATGAGGCAAAAACCGTTTCATTGTAGATTGGAGGAAAAAAATGGGACTTTGTCAAATTAATATCCGGCAACATTGTGTTTTGTAATGACACATCAGAAATCTGAATTTCAATATTAAATATATGATTTCTCTGTTGGCAATAGAATTGATAAAATGTACCATTTAAACGAGGTTTACAATCAAGATTAATTAATGACCAAAATACAAATTTTCAAAGTCAATGGAGATACTCCCAAAAAAGGTTATTTGACTATATCAATAAGAAAAAAAAGTTATTTAAAAAAAAAGTGAAAAAGTACTTACCAAAAAGAAAAATAGGAGCGGTCTTTCAAAATTCAAAAATATCACCACTCTGAAAAATGCAGAAAAAAGAAAAAACAAAAAAGAAAAATATTAGATTAGATAGACCAATCAGACATTAACAGAGGACAACTTCACACTTTTCTCTCATTTTTGTTGTCTAATTTATTAAGATCACCATAAATATGTATTGCTTTCAAATCAATATTAACATACTGTAGTAGAAAAGAAAAACAAGAGCTGGAATGTAAGAGAACTGATCTTTCTCCATCATTATTCATATTCATCAACTTGGCTGTGCCGGCTGTGCCTGCTACGCCCCCCCCCCCCCCCCCAACATCTCAACAACAAAAATGTTTTGTGACATCACCAAAAGCTAAAAGAAATCTGAACAGTCAAATGATTCATTTTAAATGCAAATATTACATCACTGGTTTGCACACAATGTCACCTCAAAAGCTTTATTGCTATTATTTACTAAAATATATGTCTGACATTCAAATGGCACAGCAATAACCAATATATTTTGAAAAGTTGCTAGGTGAAATTGTATTCAGTTATTTCAGTAATATTTGTAGTTTTTGAACCAGTGCCAAAGATCAGATGTATGATCTACAATGATACTTACTTTACTTTACTTTAAGTAGATGAAGTAAAGTTACTTTACTTTACTTTAAAACACGATGTTGTAGGTCTAAGCCTGTTCATCGATCCAGGATTCTTCCGTGATTACTGCTATTTTGTGGAGGGAGGAGGTTGTGTAATAACATAAGACAATAGACAACACCTAGACCGGCTCATACAGAAGGCTTACTGGTACACTCTTTGACCAGTGACTATCAAGTCTATTCTTAAAAGAGTTTACCGACCCAGCTGCCACAACGTTTTCTGGGAGACCGTTCCACAGTTCCACGACTCTATTGCTAAAAAAGTATTTTCTTATATCTAGCCTTGAATATTTCTTTTCAAGTTTTCAAGTTAGTAATAGTTGTTAATTTTTTTTTGAGTGGACATTCAAAGCCTGGCTTCGTCAAAGGGGCACATTTTCATGAGGAATCTGCTCATCATAGTTTGTATTTTCGATTTGAACCGAAGTCAGGTAATCCCTTTGCAGCAAATGTAAAATTAAAATAAAGAAAACTGTCAGTCTCAAAAATACTGGAATAGGCCACCAAAAATTTTGACAAAGTCTCTGACATTCGTCATTAGACTTTAAGAAATAAGAGTCGCGACTATTAGTTGTCTCCTAATATCGGCATTGCTCCTCTACTGATCATGGTCAAGCCAAGGATCAAATTCAAACATGACCAATGAAATTCATGGGAGTCTATTTCATTCCTTGACTATGTTGACACTTCATCGACAATGGCAAAAATGTACGTAAAATCATAATTCAACACCCCAATTGTGCCAATCATCTTTCGCATTCAAATTTTCAAAAATACAATTAGAAATTTAGATCTAGACTAGTCTAAATCTAATAGTAATATCTAAGTTCAATTCAAGTTATCCCCATCACTCTAACTGGACTTTCCTGAAATTCCTAGCTGAGCCTCAGACTCTTTTGTAGGGTCTACTCTGAATCTGTGAGAGTAGGCTAGGGCGATTTCGCAAACACGACGGAAGGCAAAGATGAGGGCAACACAACCGAAAAAAACAATCTGCGCATGCGCGAACCAGAATTTTCTCCGTCTTGTTGATTTTCACTCCGTACACGGCCATGATTGAGCATTCGTTCCCTAAAAAGGCCAAATTTGCCTAAACACGACGGAAGAGCTGCATCGCCGTTATTCTCCCGTCGTCTTTGCGAAAGCGCTCTAGTTCTAGGAGTAGGACCTAGTGTCGTGAGAGTGACTGGCCGAGAGCCCATTCTGTAGAAAATCTGACTTGAGAGGAAGTGAGAGCCAGATTGAGATTCATTCGCCATGCCCATGCTCATCATCATGCCCAGGTTTGTTAAACTCATTTCTCATTGTACTCAGTCATGCCTTCATTTTGTTTTAAGGTGAGGGAGAGCCTTTACCATAGACATCCCATTGTCCAGTAAAAATTCCCCGAGACGTGAACAAACGCTGCCGGAGCCGTGGATTGTGCTGGCTAATTCTCGATCTCCTCCTCAACATTTCATACGTTCACGTGCGGTATAGCGCTCAGCGCCGCGTGGGCACGTGCATGACGGTAATGTATGCCAAATCTACACCGGCTACTGTACTGCACATGCCACCGACACAGTTAGCACGAGTCCGCACAGGCACTCAACTTACGACTCAAATTAAGCAACAACAACATTGGATATCCACTCTAACATAAATTTATACTTCATATTGTTAAAAAATGAACTCACAAACAATATTATCTAACACATAAGATCGAAGAGTCGGCGAAAAATGATGATTACATGCACAGCGTCCAGGGGTCAGCATGCAGGAACCATGTTCAAATGAAACGCGCATGCGCGAAATGCAGCACGCTGGGGGGGGGGGGGGGGGGGGGGGTATATTTTATCTCTTAAAACCAGCTATACTAAAGGCGGTACAACAAAAAATTGAAGTGGATTGGAAATATATGGGAGAACAGGGACGACTCCTGGGATTTAATAAAGGTAGGTTCGATTTTTTAAAAAAAATCTGACGATCGAGCTTGACAAAAATAAGAAAATAAGTATAAACAAAAGCACAAGGAAAAATAAATGAAGGACATCAGATCTTTTGGTGCTGACTCAATAAACCAAATTATCTGACATGCAACAAAATAAAAATGAAAAGTGTTCAAGGGTGCAAGGCTCTGACTAAAGTGTTATAAGAAAAGTTTAACACCGAGGGAAAAAAATAGAAAGTGAAAAGCAGAATATATAAGCAGGGGCGGCCGAGCGACTTCCAAAGTGGGGGAGGGCACCAAGATGTGTGAGGTCGCAGTGCGAAAAATTACATTCTTATATAAAGAGGAAAAAACCTGATCCTAATGGGGTTATTACCAGACACGTAGCCACGGGGGGGGGGGGGGGGGGGCACGTGCCCCCTCTAAAATTTCCAAGATCGGTTGAACTTTTTTAGACCCCTTTTTTTTTTACCTCAATCGATTACATGTATGTGCCCCCCCCCCAAACATCGAACTCTGGCTACGTGCCTGGTTATTACAGGTATTATTAGCACATTCTCATAAGGAAAGACTGAAAAGAAAGTAACATAAGTATAATCATCTATAGATGAGTGCGAGCGTATGTGGGCGAGCTTTGGGGGAAATTGCTCTTAGTCGCTTGAAATTAGCTAGGGCGCGTTTAATGATGAGAGAAAAAGGGGACACTTATCAGGAAAGTACAAAGAGTAATTGTCAGAGGTGAAAATGGGGCACATCTTACATTCTCCAAAAGAAGCACTCACCAGGGATGAAAAAATTCAGTCATGAGGAATAGGAAATGTGCATTTGTCGACGGAAAAGGGGGCCCCATCAGATTTTGATAGGGGCATTTATAAGATATTATTTATATTGTTAAAAGGGAAATTATCAGAGGTGAAAAGTGGCACTTATCGCACCTGAAAAGGGGCAATGACCAGATATAAAAAGTGGCACTTAGGGGAATGAAAAAGGGGCACTTGTAATAAAGGAAAATGTGCATTAGTTTAAAAAAATGGGCACCGGTCAGATTTTTGAGGGGCATTTATCTGAGGTGAAGGGGGCACTTATCTGAAGTGAAAAGGAGTAATTTCTCGTACCTGAAAAGGGTCAATTACCAGAGAAGCGGCACTTATGAGAAGGGGAAGTGGCTCTTTTTAAACGGGGCACTTATCATTAGAAAAAAGGGCACTTATTAGAAAGGAAAAAGGGCACATGTGAAAATATAAGGTGCGTTTATCCGAGTTAAAATGGGGGAAGTTATTAAAAGGGGAACTTCTTACAAAGAAAAAGGGGCACTTGTCAAAGTAAAAGAGGCACGTACCTCTCAGGTTAAATAGGACAATTATCAGAGGTGAAGGGAGCACTTATCAAAAATGAAAAGAGGCACTTCTCGTACCTAACTAGGGGCACTTACTAGAGATTAAAAAGGGCACCTATGAGAATGGGAAATGGACACTTCTTACAAAGAAAAAGGGGCACTTGTCAAAGTAAAAGAGGCACGTACTGCACGTACCTCTCAGATTTAAATAGGACAATTATCAGAGGTGAAGGGAGCAAGGCTTATCAAAAGTGAAAAGAGGCACTTAATTCTCGTACCTAACTAGGGGCACTTACTAGAGATTAAAAAGGGCACCTATGAGAATGGAAAATGGACACTTATTGCAAAGGAAAATGGGAACTTGTCGAAGGAAAAGGCCACGTGTCCAAAAAAGGGGCACTTATCAGAGGTGAAAAGGGGAAGGAGCACTTTTACAAATTAATAGGGGCACATGTCAAAGTAAAAGGGGCACTTTTCGGGTGCTTGAAAAAGTGGGGGCACTGTGCCCCCCCCCCCCGGGAGGGCCGCCTCTGTTTAAAGACAACGACCCCTTGGGCAATCACCCCGGAAAATTATCCCCCAGGAAAACTATACCCCCATGAACAATTATCCCCCGGAAAATTGGCCCCTCCCCCCCCCCCCCAAAAAAAAGGAGGGAACACGCATAGATCTATGCGTACCCCATAGAGATAAAAAGTATGTATCTCTATGGCGTACCCTGAGTGGGAGCTAGGGAGGGGGGGGGGGCGGGCCCTCCCCGGAAAATTACCCGCTAGGACAGTTGCCCCCCCCCCCCAGCATAATTACTAGTACCCCCCCCCCCCCCCCCCCTCCCCCGAAGAAAAAAAAATATCTATATCATATAGACTCTAGGCCTATCCTCTTTTGTTACATTTGTCGTGTGTATAGAAAGAGACATTCACTTTGCATCAAAATCAAAATGGTAGCTCCCATATAATCATGTCGGCACTGCAGGATATAGATTTTCCCGTAGAGATCAGTGCAGGATACCGATACAATAGTGATAGAAACTGGGACTAGTTTCTCGAAACAGTCATAAGTCTAAGTTCGTAGACGTCCCATAGGTGCGCGTGTAAATTCTATAACACACATTTCAAAGGGATGTCCAAGAAGTTAGACTTATAACGGTTTCGAGAAACGGCCCCCAGCAATCTCCGATTATTAGCCTCTGTGCTGTGTGGCTACTTCTCAGCGTTTTAAGTTTTAGTGAATAACCAAGACACCTGAAAAGACTTGGACACAAGGACATGAAGGATGGCATTTTATTGCCTACAAGTATCTCGGAGGATCGCTCTAAGTAAGATTAAAATACAATTTCCATCGCGATGCCTACATCGGCAGTGGACATGCGGCCAAGGCCGAGCATCTCTCGAAATGAAGTGCGGATTCGTACACACCTGCACGCCGACAGTCTGGCGTGGAAGTGATGTCGTGGTAGGTATACCAACAGTCGTTTGTCCGAATAGACCCTATGTTTGCTATCCAGGTAGTCCGAAATGCTATTTGTCCACTAGACAGAAATACCGTCTGGTATTGGAAATTCTTAAAGGAGAAGTCCACCCTGATAATAAGTTTGTAGGAGAAAAATGAGAAGAACTGATTAGGGAAGTCTGAGCCTCTGAGACTGAGTCTGAGTCTGAGTCTGACCATGCTGACTGAGCTCAGCTCAGGAGTGAGGTTAACCGTTGATAACACTTAAAAAACTTGAGTTCTGTAGTGGTAAAATTTCATGCCCATCTCGATGAAATATCATAGATAACATGTTCTTTCATGCACCCCCACAGAAGATAGGTATACAATTTCATTTACATTCAGAGAAATGGAGATTGGGGTCATTCAGATGTGGTAAATTGTAGGGGATGACATTACAATTTCTGATCGCATGATTTTGAAAGATTCATAACTTTCTTATTTGCTGTTCAATTTTCTCAAATTTTTTCTGTAATATTTCTGCTTCTAATAAAACCAATTTGATATAAGTGTGGACTTCTCCTTTAAAGGGGGGTGTAGCATGACGAGACTATGTGTCTTTCCCGTGCCCTGACTCGGGGGCCAGTCGGGTATAATACGACTACGGACGCCGCGACCACAGTATTCACGTGCATGCAACATATGCGAAACCGAAGAGTGAGGAGAAATTTGGTCTGTTTCGCGAACTGACTGTTAATCGAGTCCATTCATTTACGTGCAGTTGTCCAAAAGAAGTCGTAGATGGCGTTAACCAGTACTTGCCATGCTACACTCCCTTTAATAACGCTTACATTTGTCTTCCTCACAAGGCTATAGGGAGATGTGAGTTGGTTTAGCGGTTATGTTTGTGGTAAGGTCAGTCCGGTTACTTAGCTTGTAATTTCCTATCTGTGTACACAGTCTATTTATCTGTGGGTGTACACGGTTATGAAATTTAACAAAAACAAAAGCAGTATTTCAGTCATGCACGTAAGACCAGCAATCCAGCATACATGTGCGTCTGAACAAGGATTTTCTCTGAAAAGTTGTTACGGTAGTAACGGTACTGCACACAAAACCATCGCACTCATGGGAAAGTCACACCAATGCTGAAAAACAGGTGATTTTTTTTCTTTGTATATCCATGTGGTGAATTTGCTACACGTGTATTGATGGTTCGTTCATGTACACAAAAACATGTGTTCAAGGTCACAGTACTAGTAAGGTCAGCGTTTTTTTTTGTTTACTTGCGTACGAACTGACTCGGCGGGAGCTGGTTCGAGACCGAGTCCTGTCATTCTGATTGTGACGTTAAAGGGCAGTCCCCAGATGTAAAAATGTAATCATATGTGATTGATATAATGTCTGTAATAGTGTAAAGAACCCAAATTACAAGCACAAACACATACACCTTCCCTAGGCTATACGCAGACGATAACCTTTACCGCAAGCACAAGGGGGGGGGGGGTTAACTAGCTGATTTTCATGGGTATCCAGCGAAAAGTTTGACCTTGGATTTACTTCATATAGTCTTAAAGTTAAAGTAATAAACAATAAACAATATATTCTTTTTATTACCTCTTTGGACAGGTTAAGAAAAGGCCTGGGGAGCAGATGCTTCATGCTGGCTTTATCATCCCTGTTTGCCGAGCATCATCCTCGTCAAAATTCAAAGACCAAGAGGGTAATCGCATATCCAAGGCTTATCTCGGTGACAATCTTGGGATCTCGGTACAGAAACATGATGGAAATCGACTCATCTATGAAGTGCGGGGGCAGGCCATGCTCCGATTTGTGACGCTATCGTTCTACGCCACAGCAGTAGTTGGACTGTACCTTGCTCCTGATTTTATCTCCAGCGCATTAGAAAACGATGTAATTAACACAGAGGCAATAGTCAACTTGTCAGCGGTTAGCTTCGCTGTGATCGGACTTCCTGCATTACTTCGCATGCTGTCCAAGAGACTGGTCCTGAAACTTTACCACAACGAGGCCAGAGAGACGTACATGGCTGTTACTCAGTCCCTCTTACTCACCAACAAATTAACAACATTTTCTCTTCAAGATGTAGTGGTGACAGAGAACAGGAGCATCCTGAGCCAAGCGTTTAACTTGACTACTTTCAAAGCAAAGAAAGATCCTATGCATGTGAATTCATACAACTTCAAGCTTCCAAGTGACTATAACCATTTACTGGGATTTGATAAAGGCATGACTGAGGTGTCTATGAAATGGATGAAATAATCTGTTTTTGAGTTTGCCTTTATATGGAAGGGATCGACACTACCAGGCGCCCGGGTTCGTAGAGTGTGCCAGATTATTATGAGATAGCAAACTACCACCTGAGAAACATGTCTTGTAAGGAAGTATCTTACGGACAGCGCATGTAACTATGCAGTGTGCTCTCTTGTTTTGAGCATGCTTAATGGTATGGGAATTCTCTGCTGGCAAATATGAATATTATGTTTACTGCTTAAAGGCCAAGTTCACTCCAAAAATAACTTACTCTCAATAGAAGCAGAAAAATCAGACAAACCAATTCAAAAAAGGTTGAGCAAAATCGGATATCTAATGAGAAAGTTATGAATTTTTGAAAAAAGTCTGTAAAACTATGGAACAATGAAAATCACAAGACAAATTGGAAATTCACTACCCACTAATTATTTTCTTTATATTGATAATACAAATCTTCACACCGGCATCCAAGTTAGATTGATAGTAATATGTTTTTGTGTGGATGCACTAATGTAGAGTAATTTTTTCAGTTAAATCATAAAAAATATGACTTTTGATGAACTATTTACTATTTAGATAAAAATCAATAATTATGAATATTAAATATTCATAAAATAGTATAAAATTTTCAAAGTTTATAAAAGATTTTGTGCAATGTCATGCATGCAATATGATACAAATTATATAACCTGGGCAAAGGCATGGGGAAGTCAAGTTTTGGGGGATAAAAAGAGAAATTAATGGGATTAAAATATATAAAGCAATAGATAAATAGTGAGGACATGACGTCACAAACAGATTACCAAATTGGTAATTTGTGTACTGATTTCTATTGTTCTATCGTTTAACATACTTTTTCAGAAATTCTTAACTTATTAGTTATCCGATTTTGCTCGAACTTTTGATTGGTATGTCTGATTTTTATTCTATTGAAAGTAAGTTGTTTTTGGAGTGGACTTGTACTTGAAGTGCTATATCGATATCACCAATTACCAATAACATACATAAAATGAGCTGTAAAAAGGTACATTAGCATTTGTCTACATCAATAACCCACTTCTTGTAATGGCCAAAATTACACTGATTGAATCATTGCGCAGCACAAACAGACAACCATTTGGTACAAGGGTCTGAAAATCAGACTAACACTTAATGGATCGTGTCATTGCAATCACTAAAGTTGATTTGACAACTAATGATCAACATTTTCAAGCCCTTTCGTTTTGAGGGAAGTTCTAAAGTTTTATCTTTCAAATGCTGTTGCAATTTAACCTTTTAATTTTTTTGGCCTGCGAATGGGACATTTAAGCACTAGTATAAAACCAACATATTATTATTGTTATTATGAAACTGTAACTGTAACAGATTCGAGAGGTTCTAATAAAGGTATCATTATTTTAAAAAGGTTGTGAAAGCAGTTAAATTGTGTAAAATTTTGGGGGATTACAATGTAAGAGAAAAATGTAAAAATCTCTGAAAAAGTTCTGAAAAATTATCAATGTTTAGGAAGTAAAGGATCATTTTCAATTCTATTAGGAGTGATAAAAGTACTATTTGTTCTATGGTACAATGAACAAAAAAATAACTGTAGTGGGTAATCTGGAAGGAATACCATGACAGTTCTCATCAAACTTTAAACTGATTTTACAATACATGTTAAAAGTGTAATTGTACCTGAAGGATTTTTTTTTTCAACGAAAGGAAGATAAAGCATACAGAGTGAAAGTATAATATAAAGATGCAAGACGTATTTTTGTTAGTGAGTGACAGCTTATTGGCAATGAGCATATCCGTATAAGAGAATAAACTGATTTTACAATACATGTTAAAATTGAAATTGTACCTGAAGAATTTTTTTTGTCAACGAAAGGAAGATAAAGCATACAGAGTGAAAGTATAATATAAAGATGCAAGACGTATTTTTGTTAGTAAGTGACAGCTTATTGGCAATGAGCATATCCGTATAAGAGAATAAACTGATTTTACAATACATGTTAAAATTGAAATTGTACCTGAAGGATTTTTTTGTCAACGAAAGGAAGATAAAGCATACAGAGTGAAAGTATAATATAAAGATGCAAGACATATTTTTGTAAATGAGTGACAGCTTATTGGCAATGAGCATATCCGTATAAGAGAATAAACTGATTTTACAATACATGTTAAAATTGAAATTGTACCTGAAGGATTTTTTTTGTCAACGAAAGGAAGATGAAACATACAGAGTGAAAGTATAATATAATGATGCAAGACATATTTTTGTAAATGAGTGACAGCTTATTGGCAATGAGCATATCCGTGTAAGAGAATGAGCTGAATGAATATAGAGTGAGATGGTGGAGGAATGCCAGAGAGGAAGAGAGAACGGAAGAGTGTGGAAACAAGAAGGAGAGACAGTTGGGAGGAAGACAGAAATGTAAGGGGAGATGGAAAAAAAAAAACTAATGGAAGAGGGGAACGAGTGCCAATGAAGAGAGAGGGAAGGGACGGGGAAGTAAGATGTTTTTTTTGTGTATTTGTGTTTTTACTGATAAGTAATAACAGAAACATCAAACACAAAAATAACAAACGAATATTAACATACCGGTATATACAATGGATAAAGTCAAAGAACATGTATCATAATACATAGGGTCTCTTATCATGTCTATTTACATAAAGTGAACACAGATTATTCAATTGGGATGTCAAATTAGAAGACCATTTTTTTTTTAAATGTAAGCATTACTTGTCCTTCTTTGTGCAATTTTATGCCATGTATCGTAACAGCTGCCTGTATCAACTCCAAATACAAAATTAAAATCTGAATAAACAGTAAAGTGTCGTATGCACTTGTCCATGGCATCAGTGATGTTTATACAAATTAACCTTCTTACATTCACCAAACTGAATCAAGTGCTTTCACAAAACAAGTGCTTGATGGGGAAGTAAGATAGGGAGAAAAAGACAGGGTTGGTGGTAAATACCGGTGGCGAAAATTACCGGCGGTAAATACCGTCCGGTAAATAAGATGGGCGTCCGGTAAATATGTAAAAAAACAGGATTTTAATTCTCTATTTATTAATAATTTTACTTGTTTTTAGCCTTAACAACTGAAAATGTTGTTCTGAAATAATTAGTAGCACAACACTCATAGTAGAAAAACACAAACAGATTTATAAAATCAACACTGCATGCATGTACACACCCAAACACACATACATGTACACAGGGGCGTACGCAGGGGGGGGGGGGGGGGTTTGGGGTTCAAACCCCCCCCCCCCTTTGGTATTTTTATGTGTGTAAACCCCCCCTAAAAAAAAACCCCGCTTTGTTTTGTTTTGTTTGTTGTTTTTTGTTGTTTTTTAAATAAAAAAATAAAAAATTATGCCCAGGGCTAACGTAAAGTGACCTTACCCCCCCCCCCCAACGAAAAAAAATGTCAAATTTTCAAATTTCGAGACAAAAAAAAGAAAAAAAAGTGTCCGCTTACCCCCCCCCCCCCCCCGAGCGACTTTTCGGTTGGCTGAGTCTTTGCGATTTTTTTTTGGACTACCAAAAAAAAAAAAAAAAGTTGGGGGGGGGGGGGGTAAGGTCACCTTTTTTAGGTTAGCCGTGGGCATATATATATATATATTTTTATTTTTTTTTAATAAAAAAAAAAAAAAAAAAATCCAAAGGGGGGGGGGTTTAGGTTTTTTTAGGGGGTGTTTACACACATAAAAATACCAAAGGGGGGGGGGGGGTTTGAACCCCCAACCCCCCCCCCCCTGCGTACGCCCCTGTATATATATGTTCTCTTTCCCACCGTGTGCCCCCCGGCCCCCCCCCCCCCCCCCCGGCAAGAAATTCCTGGATCCGCCCCTGCATGTTGCGCTTTGTAAAATCTAGCTGAAGCTAAACTGTCTGCAGAATCTATCAGTTCTTTATGTAAATTTCACTTTAAATAGACCTTATTGCCGATGTGGGATATAAAACAAATATTAACCTCCTTTACTCGGGCAATGGATAAACTATCATCGCCTTGGTGTTCTCGGGGCTACCATCATCCCTCGCCTTGCATCATGCATGCAGACGAAAGAGGAGGGTCTAAGCTTGACAAATAGACCTATAAGATGTGTCCCTCATAATTAAGTGATTAAGATAATTCTCGGGGTTTTTTTTGTGGTACGCACGTCTGTACAGATATAGGGCGGGTCACAAGTGTGCGTTTTGCAAACCAAAGACGTTATATACTAGGCGCCGCCATATGTGCGCGCTAAATCAGTATAATAATAGCGCGCAGGCGCTGCGCTAGGCTATAGGGTGCGTCGTTTGGAGCACACCTGCAGGTCTATACTGAATATTCATATCGTGACGTCAGCCGTCGCGCCCGCATATATATGAGCTAGCGCGCGCTAGCGCGCCGTATATATACCTCGAACATCATGATCAGGATATCGTGTATGTTGCATACGATACGGTAGCGGTATATACCTAGACCTACTTTACTAGATCTAGGCTTAGATCTAGTTAAGCTGTTTAGCTATATAATATCATCATCATCATCTGACATCAGCAGCAGCAAAATGTCCTCTCCCGACTCAATGAGGATGAGTATAGTAATGAGGCTGATGTGCCCGACCCTTCTCCGCCTCCTCCGCCTCCTTCCCCTCCTCCGCCTCTACCCCCTCGCCCTAGACCTAGGCCGTGGACCGACATCTGGCACCCTGTGTCTGAACGAGCTCCTGCTCTTGGATGGGTCTCAACATTTGAGGAAGCGTGTGAAGTAAAAAAAAAACACTTCGAGGTTTTTTCCTCTCTGACGTTTGTGTCGGAGAGGCATACCGTAATTCCTTTCCAGAAGGTGAGTCATCTTACCTTAAATTCTTAACTGCCTTGTTTGTTTAAAATCATCTAGAATCTAGGTCTAGATCTCGATCAGTAGCAATATGGAATGCTGCCTTTGGCTTTGAAAGCCTATTCACGTTACCCTCAATAGTGCAAAATGCACCCAAAAATTACCCTCCATAAGAATTTTATTTTAATACTAGGGTCTAGTCTTGACTAAGTGCTGAAATGTTGAATCGACGATGCTGTAGTCTATAGATCTAATATAAATGAAAATGATACCCTTTCCAACATCTTTTTTTGGGATGCGGGCATTCATGTTGAGTGTTCACTAAAACAAACTTCAATCAATGCCCTTTTTTTTCCCCCATGCATGATTAGGACCCAAACAAAAGATCAGATTTTCTGATTCCATCATTGAAGGTGATGGTACACCTTTCTTTCTGCGAGGTCGATGGGAGTATTCATGTATGTTTGGGCGAGACAAGCATGCAGCCAGGATCAAGAAAGCAGTAGAGGAGGAAAAAAGACAACATAAGGTAACATAACAATGAATCTTGTTCAGATGGACTGAGCCCCTCAACTGCGTGTCTGTTTACATGCAGTTGAATCATGACTACATCAATCATCCTTTTTTAATTAATGCAAATTATTCCATGACTTGAGGTCCCATCTGTAGCTGTAGATATAGATCTAGATCTAGATACGTTGATCCAAAATGTTAAATTAAACAAAACCACTAGCTATACCCCTTCTTCCACGCGTTTACACTTTTTCCATTACAGCTTTGTTGATGAGTGATCAAAATTGGTTTCGGGAAAGGGAACATAAATTGAAATATGTTGTATGTCAGGTGGTTTCATTTGCAGTGTTTATGGCCTACCATGAATGTTGATATTTTTTTATAAGCATTCATTCTAGGAGTAATTCCAGGCCCTTAGCCAGGGGGGGGGGGGGGGGGGGTTCAGAAATTCAAATTTATAGGATTTGGACAATGTTACTAAGTCCTTTAAGATCTGGTTGACAAATTACCATCAAAACTGAACTTACTGAATTATCAATTTAGGCCTAGCTGACATACAAATTGTGCAATGGTTGAGGTATCATTGTTGACCTTTAACTGCACGTATGCAGTTGAAGATCCACATAGTTTGTAAATAGTTTTATTATGACTATTATTATTATTATTATTTATTCGGCAATTCACACAAAATATAACAATGTAAATATGAGTAGACAAAAATTAAAGGAATGTCAATTATAAATGCACAATCTCACTGGCGGTCCTCTGAGTGCATCAGTTGGCTGCCAGGGAAGAGGAAAGCAAACTTAATCACTGTAATCGTAATGGTCCCTCTTCCTGACCAACTGGTGCAGCCAAAAGACCTGCAAAATCTAGCATGAATGTTTAAATAAAATGTAAAACATTTCATAAACCACAACCTGATAAACCAAACAACTAACAAAAATAAAGCACAAGGAGAAAATGAAGTATGATGTACTAGTTCATGACACGATACTGAGCTTAAAAATGAGGAATTAACTCTGGCTTAAAAACTATTGCATAAAATGTCAAGTAAGGAAACTTCAGCATTGTAGTAAAACTTATAAACCTATCAGGAATGATTTTACTTTAGGTTATATTATACAGTTCTTGGTTTTACAAAAGTGACTATGTAGTTTAACATGCAATTCTTTCCCCTTGTATAACTTTTACTTTACCCAAAGGCAACAAAGGGAGGCTCCGACAAGCCACATTGAAAGAGTGCAGCAGAAAGAAGTTTGCAGGTGGCAGAAAGCACACAACAAGTAAATTATTTGTCTTTAAAAATTTGCTAATCGTATCTGCAAAGAGGGTACCGGTATGTAAACAGCAGCAAATTTGGGGAAGAGCTACAGTTAATTTAATTGGCTTTCTCATTGATTACTTTTTTTTTTTAAATTCTTGTACTTGCATTTACACCTTTCGTGTCATTTTACTGAAGGAATAAGGAATAGAACGTCATATTGTTATTCAGTAATGTTACTGGATACAGGATATGTGCACTTCCTGACAACATGCTCAATGAAGAGAGATTTTAAAACACATAAGGCTTAAATGGTGACATACACAAAACAGTACTATGGGCTATATTTACAAGCCCTGCCTGAAGTTGCTTTCCTTCTTGTAAATACACATTCTGTATCCCCTTTTCTTTACGAAAAGTATACCAGTATGCAGATGATGCATACTGGAGAAGGTCAATAGTGTAACTAGCTAAAGAAAGTCGTATTATGACATTATATTATAATGTAATTGACAACCTCTTGATAGAATCTGTTCTATAAATATATATTTATCATTTCACTTTCCAAAGTACTGTATAGAAATTATGACATCAATCATGTTTATGTTGCAGGCATCATAATTCCTGAATTGGAGGGGCTCAAGATTCAACCGCTTCCTTCACTAAATGACGACAATCGTTATTCAGTATGCGGGGAGACCCTTGAGATTAGAGATTTCAAGTCCTTGCAGTTCCCTAATTGGATAAATGACAAGGTAATTTATCTATCAAAAGATGTTATTATTATCTTACTATAACCAAATATGCATTTGTATCATTTGTAATCAATATAATGCTGAAGGCTCAATGAAGAAAGAAATGTTGAGCATGATTTGCATTTCAATGAGTATAAATGGTTTATTGTAACATTTTCATATATTTTAGATTTCTGTACAGTTTTGTCAATCACATTTCTTGGGGAAGGTGGAAATCATATGTATTGTCTCATCTGTGTAGCAGGAGTGAGATGCATGTCACTTCTCAATTTATTGATCTTACATCAAAGATGTTATGACATATTGGTTGGCCATATTATAGTTAGAAGTCAGAGGGGATTTCTCTGACTGTTTTGCAATTATATAAATGATAATTATATTGCAATTGTACCATGACAAGACAGAGATATCATTCTTTCAGTAACTTTGAAAATGGTTGATTACAGATTTCTCTCTTTTTTGGTAATTCTTTAATTAGTAAATTAGCAAATTAATGCTCATGAAAACAATACTTGCATCACTTTGCACTTTACTGGATTTACCCTGTGGCATACCTCCACTAGGCATCAAGGATGTTGACAGAACACCGTGGTATCTCGTCACCTGTACCCTTTGGTGTAACAAGCTGCAAATCCATGGGAGGAGTGCTGGACGGGCACCCATTAGGTGAAGCTTGCTAACAGCAATGTTGTGGTTCACTAAATCAAATGCCTTGGTGAAGTCAGTTATCACCATAGTTGACACAGTCTGTGGCTTGTCTGCATTACTGTGCAAGGTCAACAAGGTAGTGGGTAGTGGAGACACCTTGTCGGTTGCCAAACTGCTGCTTGTTGATTCCTTGACAGTGTCACCGAACACCCACCAATAGGTCGAAGTTTGTCAATAGCTAGTGGAGATTCCTTGGGAACAAGACAGACAGTTGACTTCTTCCACTGCATATGGACTACTCCTTCGAGCAAGGATTCATTGATGACATCACAAAGTGGGGAGCTCCTTTCATGGATCAACTCTTTGACTTTTAATGTGACCCATGGCTTATTACGATGTACCTTAATTCACTTGGAAGGGAAATAAAGGTTGTTCACTGAGTTGAGATCACTGTAGAAAGCTTCACACTTTGCGTTTGCTCCATTCGCATTATATACTGAAGACCAGTCATGATGGACGATCCAGTCACCAAAGCATCTTACGTCCGTTTGATTTCTGTGTCTTACTTGGTTGGCTTTTGGATGCCATATTACTCCATTGTGGTCACTACGTCCTAAAGGCAATATTAGTTGAACAGGGGAGTAGTGCAGGTGTAAGTTGGTGATCTTATCCAAAATGGCATCTTTTTGTGTTGCCTTGTTAACAACTTGTTTCAGTCTATGACTATTGATAAGTTGCATCAAATCTAATCGGTTAACATCTCAAGTATGATTATTCCTGTGTCTTAATTGATATCTCGCAAAATTCTCATCCGTAGAGTTAATCAAGTGTTGAATGCAGAATGCTACTATCTGGATGATTCGGGGGGTAATATACACCAACGCCACAAAGATAGATGATACAGTGCGGGGTAATCAGTGTGGCTGTAGTCTGATCCAGACAACCTCAAGTTTGGGTGGTACGCTGATAAATGGCACGGGGGTGTTGATCTATGCCATCCAAAAGTGTGAAAAGTGGCTTTTCTTAGCTTACCTAATGTTGCAAAGGGTTTTGAATCTGTCATACTGAGCTTTGACAACTGACCCTACCCACAATACTAAATGTTACTCAGAATTATGGACGTCTGTAATTATGAACAATTTTTTGAAATTAATGGGTCTTTTCAAAGAAAATGTTACGGTATATGTAGTTGTGCATGCAGTTAGGGCTTCAATATTACACCATATCACAGACACTGGTAACATGTAGGAACGTGTATCTCAGATTTAACATTGTTAAACGATCCCTTTAAAGGTAATACAAAGTTTTGGGAAATTTTGAAAATTGGGTGGATAGTGATTCTCTACAATTTTGATATATTTGGATGCCCCTGTGAATGTTTCATAAGCACTAGAAAATTTAGCTCCTGAAACACTTCTGCTTGATGAATTTCGAATAGCCCTGTACAATGGTAGCTGCGACCATGAACATCTCAGAACATGCAGTTATGATATATAATTTCCAAACGGAAATAGCTTATCGGTCAATTTCAGTCAAGAAACATTGTTTTATAGCTTAATTGCTATATTGACCTTGAGAGGGAGCTATACAACATAAATAGTTTATTATTTACAATTTCATAATTTGGACTCGATTTCAACCGCGACAACGATCACTGAATATTGTAGGATCCCACATGCTTCCATTATGTTCATTTGAACCAAATTCATGACCCCATACCAAAACGTTGTATTACCTTTATTAAATCAAACAATACTACAGAGAAATGTTTCTTCTTTAGAAATGTGATAATTCGTCCCTGTTTTCACGAAGTGACGGTAGTGAGGAAAATCATAACGCAAAGTGAATGCAATTTTTTTTCACTACCGTCACTTCGTGAAAACAAGGACGAATTAATAGACAGCATTATAAAGTTATATGTCTCCATATTATATTAAACTCTACTCGGGACATTAGCTGGACATACAGAAACAGGGTGCAGAAGCAGGACCCTTAAGTTAAAATTTTGATTTATATTTTGCTCATCCCTAGCTTGATGTTGAGGATAGATGTCCAAAATACTTTGTTTAATCATAAAAGAGAAATTTTAATATGAATTTTAGTGCAGCCATTGATCAATCGGTTCAGTGACCATTACTTACAATGCAGGTTTTAACAACAACAAGAATCATTTTTTCTTCTTTTCTTTTTGAATTAAAGAAAAAATACAAATTCTAATAAAACAGATGGTGATGTAGCCTTGGATGTCCCTACTGAGGTCCAGTATATTTACGTTTGCTCCTTTATTACTCAGCATGCATAACAATAGCTGGACACAAATATGTCCTGCAACTGATAGTGTCCATGCAGTATTATGTGATTACAGTAAGTGATGTGGGGACATTTTTGTAACATCTATGAAAATATGTTTAAGTGGTACATTTGACATGTTCAGGATATAAATCAATGAGCTTCAGCGACCTGAATTCCTTTTAATGCTGTAGCACTGGAAAGGCAAAGTCAACCTCAACCCTTAACCAAAACCAAAAAATGAGTTTGTATGTATTCAAGTTTCCATCGAGTAACATATAATATTCAAATCCATGAACAAGTTATAGTATTGGTTATCTGTTCATTTCAACAATTCATGTCATAGTGAAAATAATCAGTTAATAGGGCCTGAATATGAAGTTGTCAAAAGCAAAGGGAAATATGTCAGAGCAAATAAATATGATTTTTTTTTATTTTTTTAATTGAACGAAACCCTTCATAGTTTCATTGAGTGCTGTTAAAGATGATTCCTTTTTTGCTCATATAGAAACCAGCATGAGTATTATACATATGTGTTGATGTGATTTCAAGGTTATACCCATCATGTCTTTGTAAAGTTTGTTTTGACTGACAACCGACAAGTATTCAACTCATGCTTATTGTAGATGTAGTCAACACATTGGCTCTAATGAATGCATCAGTAAGTGTTTCAGTATATGCATTTCTTATTTTTTTCAAAAAAAATTCAAAAAAAATAATGATAGTCAAATTGGTAATTACGTGTTGTAATTTGAGGTTTAAGAGTTTAGACAAATATATATAAAAAATATCACTGAAAACAAAATAGATATAAATATAAATATATATAAAGAAATATATGGCTCATAAATTCATTTTAGCATGAGCTATTGAAAAGCCCAAATACGTCGTCAGAAAGATGCTACTGTCATTCGTTCTGCTCTCAATTGTATTTTAACCCAACCCTGCACGCAAGATGGTGAATAATTGTGTGGTTTTTGTTTCGTTTTGTTTTGGGTTGTAATATTTTGTATGGCCAGCCATAAGAACTTTGGGGGGAGGGGGAGCTAACATAATAAAGGGAAAATAGATTACTTATTTTTTATTATTGTTGTGAAATACTTTATATTGGACACTTGATATTTTATATTGTCAGACTGGGCATATTATGTTTAATACTAAAGTCATTTGCTGAAAAAGTTAAATTTGTAAAATCCAATACTGTATGTGGTATCAAAGGGTTTGCAGCATATTTATAATTTTTTTCTGAACCAATCTTTGAAAGAAAACAAATTTTTAAAAAATTTTAAAACTAGTTCTGTGGTAAAGCACATTCTATTTTTTATCAGGTCACATGCGTCACGATTTTTTTCTTCCAGTGTAAATTTGAGTTGATGGAGAAGTTTGTTAACATAATCTTTGTTAAGTACATGAAAATAACGTTCATCGGTTCAGTCTAGAAACTCCACACATAATCTTTCTGATACATTACCATTTTATAATGTGTAACTTAATGGCAATATAATAACACTCAATCAAGCAGAATATTTGTTTGTGATCTTTATTTTTTAGGTTGTTGAAATTGATTTACATGTAAATGTTTATGTAGTTAAATGTTTAAAATGAGCAAAAATTAAGTGGGAACAAAACTTTAAAACATGATCTTATCAAGTTTTATGGAATGAATGGTTAGAACGCAGTTTTTTTGAAGATACTACGGTAAATTATGACCATACACAACAGGTCGTATGAGCTGCACTAGTGGTCGGGTCTGTGATATAAAGAACACATTAATAAAGGAGCAGAACTAGAGGTCGTATGAGAGCTAGAGGCACTGGTGGTCGGGTCTGTGATATAAAGAACACATTAATAAAGGAGCAGAACAAGAGGTCGTATGAGAGGCACTGGTGGTCAGGTCTGTGATATAAAGAACACATTAATAAAGGAGCAGAACTAGAGGTCGTATGAGCGGCACTAGTGGTCGGGTCTGTGATATAAAGAACACATTAATAAAGGAGCAGAACATGACACAAATATAATTGAGAAAATATACATATATTAGCAAGTGTAATTTATGGAGCACACGTAGCGGTCGATGGAGCACATCTCCAAGGCGATTTATATAAACGGACACAAAATGATAAAAATGAGTCAGAAATAATATATCTACATCAATGCTTTCTCTGAGGAGATGTATTAGTGCGATTCCAGATGATATTTATTCACATGACACAAATATAATAGAGAAAATATACATATATTAGCAAGTGTAATTTATGGAGCACATGTAGCGGTCGATGGAGCACATCTCCAAGGCGATTTATATAAACGGACACAAAATGATAAAAATGATTCAGAAATAATATATCTACATCAATGCTTTCTCTGAGGAGATGTATTAGTGCGATTCCAGATGATATTTATTCACATGACACAAATATAATTGAGAAAATATACATATATTAGCAAGTGTAATTTATGGAGCACATGTAGCGGTCGATGGAGCACATCTCCAAGGCGATTTATATAAACGGACACAAAATGATAAAAATGAGTCAGAAATAATATATCTACATCAATGCTTTCTCTGAGGAGATGTATTAGTGCGATTCCAGATGATATTTATTCACATGACACAAATATAATAGAGAAAATATACATATATTAGCAAGTGTAATTTATGGAGCACATGTAGCGGTCGATGGAGCACATCTCCAAGGCGATTTATATAAACGGACACAAAATGATAAAAATGAGTCAGAAATAATATATCTACATCAATGCTTTCTCTGAGGAGATGTATTAGTGCGATTCCAGATGATATTTATTCACATGACACAAATATAATTGAGAAAATATACATATATTAGCAAGTGTAATTTATGGAGCACATGTAGCGGTCGATGGAGCACATCTCCAAGGCGATTTATATAAACGGACACAAAATGATAAAAATGAGTCAGAAATAATATATCTACATCAATGCTTTCTCTGAGGAGATGTATTAGTGCGATTCCAGATGATATTTATTCACATGACACAAATATAATTGAGAAAATATACATATATTAGCAAGTGTAATTTATGGAGCACATGTAGCGGTCGATGGAGCACATCTCCAAGGCGATTTATATAAACGGACACAAAATGATGAAAATGAGTCAGAAATAATATATCTACATCAATGCTTTCTCTGAGGAGATGTATTAGTGCGATTCCAGATGATATTTATTCACATGACGCAAATATAATTGAGAAATATACTTGTATTAGTAGCAAGTGTATTTCATCGAGCACAATCAGCACATGTAATAAAAATAACAATAATGCTACGCTATCCAAAGTGCTTTGCATTGCATGTATGTAGCCATATGTAAAGGACTAAGCGGCGCATGCCTGGCCTGATCGTGACGTCACGATATGAATATTCAGTATAGACCTGTAGGTGTGCTCCAAACGACGCACCCTAGGCGGGTTATATCGCTAGCGCGTTTAATTTGTCGACTAGATCTCTCGATCTCAGATGCTATAGCTATAGCGCGCTAGCTAGCTGGATGTACTCGACTAGGCCTAGATCTAGACTGACTTTAGCTCATTGGATGGAAGGACCCGAGCCTGGATCTATTCTAGGCTAGGAAGATCTATTCTAGATCTAGGCCTTGGCCTACTTTAATTATTGGAAGCTGTACCGAATTCTGATTTTGCTATGGCAACCATGAGTGTCTTTGTCATCTTAATTCTTTTCAACGCTATCCTCAATTTCAAGACAGTCGGACCAGCAGCAGGTAACAAATTTGATCGTCAATCTGTCTATCTTCTGAGTCTATAGGCCTAGATCTATCTAGGCCCTAGTGCCCTTTTTTGTGGTAAAGACCAAAGTTCTCTCGACTCTGGATCAACCTTATCAATATCATGTCTTCTTCTTCTTCCTAAAAAGTGCAGGCTTCATGAAAAGAAGATTAACGCACTGTAGATGATGATAGCCTAATTGATGATGATGATGATGATAATGCTAGTAGGCCTATTACTAATGTCTAGTAATGATGATGATGACAGCGATGACAATAATGATGATAACGTCTAGTCTAGATCTAACTTAGACCTAGAGGTCTATAGACCTCTAGACTCTAAATCTAGACTAGACCTAGTCTAGACCGAATTTTCCGTCTCTTTCGTTCGTTAGCCTCTTATTGGGGTAGGGTCGGTTCTCTCTTTAGAGACGGAAGCCGTTTATACACATGTCCTTGCTAACGCCACGGCCAGTTCTGGTCGTAGCGTTTTGCCCCCAAAATCCCCCAAAATGTCATTTTACCTCGAGCATGTTATATTGTAAATTAGGCCTAGATCTAGGCTATAATAAATCAGTTCCACTTACCAACTTGACTGAAATAATCAGTTTAATAGTCCCTTTTTAGGAAATTATGGGTCAAAATCGGAATCCATGTTGAAAAAGATTTTCAAAATGGATTTCGATTTTGACCCATAATTTCCTAAAAAGGGACTATTAAACTGATTATTTCAGTCAAGTTGGTAAGTGGAACTGATTTATTATAGCCTAGGCCTAATTTACAATATATCATGCTCGAGGTAAAATGACATTTTGGGGGATTTTGGGGCAAAACGCTACGACCAGAACTGGCCGTGGCGTTAGCAAGGACATGTGTATAAACGGCTTCCGTCTCTAAAGAGAGAGCCGACCTTACCCCAATAAGAGGCTAACGAACGAAAGAGACGGAAAATTCGGTCTAGACCTAGTCTAGATCTAGCCTAGAAATCTAGGCCTAGAATAAAATAATGTCAGCTCTTGACTTGTCTTTAGCTTCTCGAATTTTTCTAGAACTGTCTCTAGACTCTAGACTAGATCTAGATCTATAGACCTAGATCTAGATCTAAACCGATCTAGCCTAGGCCTATCTAGACCTAGTCTAGGCTATAGTCTAGACCCTATCTGATATAGGCCTAGATCATAGATGAGCCTAGATCTAGCCTACCCTGGCCTAGACCGACAATTTCTGTCTCTTTCGTTCCTTATCCTCTAGACTAGTCTATTCTAAATTATTGCCTAAAGGCTAAAGTCTAATTTGGGTATGGCGCGGCCGGCTCCTCTCTTTGAGACAGAAACCGACCATAGGTCTGCTGTGCAAACTTTGATGGTTTGATCTAGCCAACAAAATAGTCTAGATCTATTCTAGGGTCTAGATGTTCTAGGACTAGCGGATTCACATCCGTTGCATTTAGACCCTAGACTATTCTGGAAACCATGGGTTAAATCATTCCATTAACTCTTTGCCCGCTTCGTTCGGCTAGCGGAACATACAGCGGGCTGCCAACTTCGACTCAAGTCACATTTCATTCACAATACACACGGAACGCATTTAATTCTATTGTACGCACACACACACAATAGTAACACGTGCTTCGCATTGTATACACATCACACTTCATTGCACCGCTTTCGCAGACATTGTTTACATTGACATTTTACGAGAAAAATTGAGTTTTTGAAACTGCTTTTGCAAATATTCTGATGAGCTAGGATGGCCCCTATTAGGAGGAGACGGGACTTCTTCACTGCTGATCAGGTACGAGAACTTGTGATGGACCCTGTTCCAACAGCCGACTCTGATTCAGAGGAGAGCGAGACTAACTCTGACGAGGAAGATGAGCCTGGTCCCACACGTACACTTTTGCGTAATCCCACAGAACATCTTTTCAATGAACTAACTCAGGACATAAACCTCCATAACAAAGTATTAGATATAAGAGGTATAGAATACCCTTCTAAACGAAAACTTGGATACAAAATGTATAGTTGATAATCTCAAAATGTATGATAATATACATTACAAAAAAAAAAAAAAAAAGGCTATTAATTTCTATACAATATTGCTACACAAAGTTTTTCATTACAGTACACCAATCAAAAGTTATTGCGAGTTGAATAAGCATAGTCCATGCGGAACCCCTCCTAAGGTGGCACCCTAAAAACAATGTGGCACAGGGGGGATTGTGTACGTGGCGGGCAAAGAGTTAAGGTAAACATCAAGGTAATGGACTGATAGCAGTCGATCGCGATAACGGATAAGTGCATTTTATGGACAAAGAGTAAAGTAATAGCCAGTAAACTTCTATTATAGATCTACATGTATGTAGTAAGTGGTAGGACAGGATCAAGTGGGAGAAGAGTAGCATTGGTAAATCTGGACAAATTGGTTAAGTCTGGACAAATTCCTCAAATGTTACAGAAACTGGAAGATTGTCTACATGCCATTCGCTCCTGGTTGACTGAAAACTTTCTTCTCTTGAACGACAACAAGATGGAAGTGCTACACCTGTTTTCTCACCGAAGAAGAAATACAATAGAACTCCCTCCGATTCAAATAACAAATGGTTCTGTAAATTCCTCCAAAACAGTTGTTAACTTAGGTGTCACGTTTGATCAAAACCTTTCAATGTGCCCCCATGTCCTTAGTATCTGTCGTAAAGCATCCTTCGCCCTGAGAAATATTGGTAAAATTCGTAAATTCCTCTCCAAGTCATCCACTGAAATCCTTGTCCACGCATTTATCAGTTCACTCCTTGACAGTTGTAATGGGTCAATATTGCTATTCATAAGGACCGCTATTCATAAGGTTTGCTATTCATAAGGTCCACTATTCATAAGGTCCGCTTTTCATAATTGGAGAAAAGGGTCATTATTCATAAGGGTCATTGTTCATAAGGACCACTATTCATAATCAAAGAAGAGGGTCAGTATTCATAATATTAGAAATGAGGGTCGCTATTCATAACAAGAAATGAGGGTCGCTATTCACAATAGGAGTAAAGGGTTGCTATTCATAATACGAAATGAGGGTCGCTATTCATAATGCAAAATGAGGGTCGCTATTCATAAGAGTCATTATTTATAAGGGCCATTATTCATAATCGATGAAGAGGGTCGCTATTCATAATAGGAGAAGAGGGTCGCTATTCATAATAGAAGAAGAAGGTCGCTATTCATAATGGGAGAAGAAGGTTGCTATTCATAATAAGAAATGAGGGTCGCTATTCATAATACGAAATGAGGGTCGCTATTCATAATGCAAAATGAGGGTCGCTATTCATAAGGGTCATTATTCATAAGGGCCATTATTCATAATCGATGAAGAGGGTCGCTATTCATAATAGGAGTAGAGGGTCGCTATTCATAATAGAAGAAGAAGGTCGCTATTCATAATGGGAGAAGAAGGTCGCTATTCATAATAGTAGAAGAGGGTCGCTATTCATAATACGAAATAAGGATCGCTATTCATACTAGGAGTAGAGGGTCGCTATTCATAATACGAAATGAGGGTCGCTATTCATAACAAGAAATGAGGGTCGCTATTCATAATAGGAGTAAAGGGTTGCTATTCATAATACGAAATGAGGGTCGCTATTCATAATAAGAAATGAGGGTCGCTATTCATAATACAAAATGAGGGTCGCTATTCATAATAGAAGTAGAGGGTCGCTATATTCATAATAGGAGTAGGGTGTCACTATTCATAATACGAAATGAGGGTCGCTATTCATAATAAGTAATGAGGGTCGCTATTCATAAAGAGAAATGAGGGTCGCTATTCATAATAGGAGTAGGGGGTCGCTATTCATAATACAAAATGAGGGTCGCTATTCATAATAAGTAATGAGGGTCGCTATTCATAAAGAGAAATGAGGGTCGCTATTCATAATAGGAGTAGGGGGTCGCTATTCATAATACAAAATGAAGGTCGCTATTCATAATAGGAGTAGGGGGTCGCTATTCATAATACAAAATGAAGGTCGCTATTCATAATAGGAGTAGGGGCCGCTATTCATAATACAAAATGAAGGTCGCTATTCATAATAAGTAATGAGGGTCGCTATTCATAAAGAGAAATGAGGGTCGCTATTCATAATAGGAGTAGGGGGTCGCTATTCATAATACAAAATGAAGGTCGCTATTCATAAAAAGTAATGAGGGTCGCTATTCATAAAGAGAAATGAGGGTCGCTATTCATAATAGGAGTAGGGGGTCGCTATTCATAATCCAAAATGAAGGTCGCTATTCATAAAAAGAAATGAGGGTTGCTATTCATAATAGGAGTAGAGGGTTGCTATTCATAATATACGAAATGAGGGTCGCTATTCATAATAAAAAATGAGGGTCGCTATTCATGATACGTAATGAGGGTCGCTATTCATAATAGGAGTATGCGGCAAGTCTGGAGCAAAGTTTCATCCTGCCGCAGATCTGCCGCGGACTGTTCCTGTGGCATACTGGTATGCGGCAAGTCTGCAGCAAAATTTCATCCTGCCGCAGATCTCCGCAGACTGTTCCTGTGGCATACTGGTATGCGGCAAGTCTGCACCAAAATTTCATCCTGCCGCAGATCTCCGCAGACTGTTCCTGTGGCATACTGGTATGCGGCAAGTCTGCAGCAAAATTTCTTTCTGCCTCATACTTCGGCATACTCTTTGCCGCAGATCTGCAGCAGGTCTGCGGCATACTTTTCACTTTCAAGTATTAGAGAAAAATGATGATTTGTTGTATCATTCTCGACTCTTATTTCTTGTCTGAATTCAGTCCCCCTCCCGCCCCCCCCCCCCCCTCCTGCGCAAAGCGTGTAAGCTTTGACCTTTCATAATTTAATGAAATTATTAGAGAGAGAAGACAATTCGTTGTACCATTCTTGACCCTTTTTCCTTGCTGAATTTGGTGATCCCCCTCCCCCTCCGGCGCGAAGCGCGGAAGCTTTGATGTTTCATTAAATTATTAGAG